AAATAATGTAACAGTACATTTTCTTTCGTATATCCACCCCCTTTAAGACGATCTTCTAGGGGCTCGCGCCTCCCTTTAGAAAACACTCTGGTGCTCGATAAGCCGCGGACGAGTTCTCGATGACACGTTGGAGAACGTTGCTCGTCATAGAAATTCTTTCCCACGACGCACCGTAATTTTTCGATTTTTTTCCCCCCCGGTCACGACACGCTGTAAAATTCGCTACGCGCGACGAGCAAAATGTCAAATGCCGGTCCGAACATGGTGTGTCTGGTCGTGACATCTTTGTAATGGAACCAGGTTAAATCTTTGTAACAGTCTGCTTTTGTTAGCGTTGTTCCTGTAACCGATGGACGTTTTGCACCTCTGACGAGGTCAACAACTTCGCCGATCGAGTAACAAGTGTTAGGCACGAAATTACTTTGCGACTACCATGCTGTACGAGACTCATTCTCCTTAGAGTGGTTGATTTTGAAGAATCTGAATGCAATACTCGAGGTTCTATCGTTTCAAGAAGGATGGATCGTGAGGATATTCGTCCCTATCCCAGCTAAAAATAGAGATCGCGGTTAAATAATGAAGATTTAATTGTATCAACAATCTATAATGGAGGTTCTACTGTACCATGGACGAAGGAACGTGCACCCCTGGTCCAGCCCAAATAGCGTTTGGATCCCGCGACGGGGAGGATCGAGCGGTCGCGGTTGAATTTCCTGGCATCGATCTAACCGCGGTGGCGCGAAGGGTTCCTCGAGGTCGCGGTGGATCCTCGATGACGGGACCTGGACCCGTTGTTTGCGGCGATTCTCCGTTACGGCGGACGACGGGGACAGGGTGGCATAGCGCATCATCAAAGGCCAGTGGGAGCAAGAAAACACACGGTGGCTGTGCGTGACATTTTTGTAATGAAAGCAAGCTAAACGTACGTCGTGCTCTCGGTAGTCAGTACGGCAGACATCTGGTCTGGTTGCCCGGTTGGCTTGCCTGGCTCGCTGTCTCTCGCCTGGCCGTTCTAATATTGGAAGTTGCGTCTCCACCCGCGCGACCTCCTCTCTGACGGGCCACCGTACCATGTGCAGGACATATGTATAAACATAAGCTGGAGTCTGCCGCGATGGTGAAGCCGTTTCCTTCAAAACGTGCCCCGCGATCGATCCGTACGTACTCGACGCTTTTTGTCGCCGCGAGCTTCGTTCGTTCTCCTCCCTTTCAGACCCTCCGGTGTCTCTGATCAGCCCCGAGAACTACTCGTTAGGCTTCCTCTTCCCGGTTCCTCATGCTCGTACGGGATCTCCGGACCTTCCCTTCTAACCATGCAATTCTGCTCTAGGCAATCCACCCCTGAAATATAGGATTTTCCAATAAATACAGCAGAACTTTCAATCGTCGTGGTCATCATATTCGTTTGAAATTATTAAAATTCAAAGGTTCAGTCATCGACAAGCACATTTCAACGTGTCAGCGTCAAGCAGCAAAGATATTGTTACTGTAACTCGGGATGTCTTCGATCAACTTTATCTTTCCAGATCGTACTCGTTTCGGTGGCAAGAACGGGGAGAAACTTTGCTCAGCCTCCGTGGAACGCGATCCCTCGCGTTCGATCTGAAAAAACTGCGTACGTGAGGTCGCGTTTATATCCGTGCGCGCAACACAGCTGCGCGCAATTACCAGGCCGAAGAGCCGTGGATTTTCAGCCGTGGCACGTATATCGTTTTCCGACAACTCTGCTCTTGTTTGCTTAACTAAGCGTCTTAACGAATTGCCGCAGACGCGCGTCTGCCACCCACCCCCCGCGGGGATGGGAAGCCCCCGGTTGGGGCACGCCGCCTCTTCTTCCCGAGGAACTTCGATCGATCGAGTTGTATCGCGATATCGAGCTTTTTCGCGCCCGGAGTTCGATTCTAAGTTCCTACTACTTATTGCATCGAGTAGCTTTTGGTTTGACACGGCGATAATAAAATGACCCACTATAAAACTACCAAAACTAAAGTCAATCTATCCAAATATTTGTTCCGCGATATTTCGGTAAAATTTTGCACGCGAACAGAAAGCTTTCAAACTTAAAAAATAGGCTGCTTTGTATCGTGCTTTGTTCCCGATAGAGTATTAAAAAAAAAAAAAAAAAAAAAATTCGAACGAACCCGTGGGAAAAGCTAGTTTCGACCAAAGCTGAAAAAAATGAATTTTTACCAAATACGAAGGTTGTTTTAGTTTTGCACGACGTCGGTTATTTATCAAACGGACCGTGTACAACGAGGCGCGGCTTGTAACATTTGCGACAAACCGGGTCGCGTAAAATTGCAGACATCTGTAACAACAGAAGGAGATGGGCTGTGACGGCGATTAAAATTATTGTAGCCATCTGTTATAATAAAAGCCGTCGGTCGACCGTTGGGCGAATTGTTTCCCGACAGGGTCGCGAGATCAGCCACGGTTTTCGCGTACCGTGTAAAAGCCCGTGTAAGTGTGACGTTTTTATCGTTCGCCGCGGGGATTGATTGATGGCCGATCGCGGAAGGGGCGCCACGATGCGAAATGTCGTTACGCGACCAGAAATTGTTACCGCGTTTCCGTTCGCCGCGCGAACGGAACTGAAAGGGCGATGCTTTTCTAATTGCGATTCGTCGAATGCCACGCGACGATAAAATAAATCCACCGACGTTACGCGATTTGGGCCATTTTCGAAATTTAATCATTTTCTACCTTTGGAGCGACGTTCGAATCCAACTACTAATTAATTTTATGCAGGAAATTTAATGTTTTCGCTGTTAACGGGCAAAGCATAAATACCAAGTAAGTGCTGTATGCAGTCGATAGGTATCGAAACGATTCCATACAAAATGGTACTTTATCATCTGGTATCGATAGCATCGATACGATGTTAGTCGAATCGCTGCTTGTAACTGTTCCGGACGTGAAACGATACGCGACTCGCAAAGCAAGCCCCCCCCCGGTCGCTCCCCGCTGCCATTTAACTAAAATTAAACCGGATAATTACTTTTCTTCGACGTCTAAAAAGTTGAACGAAATGGACATTAAAACGGAACAGCCGATTATCGCGTTAATTTAAATGAAATTATGCGCCGTAAATGTTTCGCGCCTGGAGGCAATCGGGTCGTACCTGTTTATTTATTGGTCGTTGGACTCCCGAGAAAATACAAGGTGTCTCCGTATCAAAGTTGCAACGATGTACGAAAATGTGGATTTTATAAAAATTTCAAGCAGCTAATTGAATTGGAAATGGCATTCTCGGAGTTTTCATGGCGACTGGATTTCGTGCATTTATCGGGACGTTAAAATACGACGACATTTGGCGATACAATTTTGCTAGTAAAAATTATAGCTGGCCGTTCGTCCGGAGGGCCGTTCCTTGGACGAAACGAAGGGCTCGTTTGCATTTCACGTTAATAACGAGACCATGTGGCACCGAAGGCAGTCTGCTGCCAGGGCTGCGCGTCAATAAAATAAAATTCCGCCAGCAGGAGCTGCGCGCCACGTGGATCTTGAAGATTACTTTCCGCTTTCGTTCCATTTAATTCCCTTCCCCGTAATCTCGCTCGTATCGTTTCCTCCCGGTTGATCCTTGTTTTTCGATGTTTTCCCGCGCGATCCAGAAAGAACGAACGCCTGTGGATCCATCGCGCGATCGCTGGAAAACGTTATTACCGATTAGAAATTAAATTTATAAATTATTTCCACTTCGTTGAATGCATGATTCCTGACCTACATTTCGTCGTTGAATAAATACATATAAAAACGCATCAAAAATACGCCAACCGCGACCAACCACTCGGTGGATCATTAATTTTAAGAGCCATAAAAGCAATACTAGATAGAGAAAAATTGCACGCGCGTGGCCGTGCCCAGGGAGGAAAAAATTCCCGACAAAAAGATCGAGGAGAATATCGAACCGCGTATTTTTTTTTTCTCGTTCGATCCATTAAACGCACCTACTGTCCGCGACGCTTACTCAAACATAGCAGCTTTTTTCTACGCGGTTCTTTATTAAAAAATAAATATTGCTTTTTATGTCCCTGGGGAACTTTCTTCATTAATCTCTTGTCGTAGTTTGACCGGTCATAAATTCTTTATCCCGAGTTGCACAACGACCGATATATAAAATCCACGCGTTTTCACGGTCTAACTTATTCTATAATCTCGTAGTTAAATTGATAATTTCTAAAACGAAAGTTCTTGGGGGTGGAGAAGTTTCGTAGCAGATCTGATGCTGGGAACGATCGCGGAATTCGTTTATTTTCGATTATTTTCAAACGTTTATTCGTAATTCCGACGCACCACCTGTACTTACGCATCGGTCCGCGTGTTCGACGTTCGAACGTTAATCTCGCACATTTGACGTCCGTTAAAGCGTTCGCCGATATTTATTTGTTCCAGACCGACCAGCGATCGGAATCGCTCGAAAACGTCCAGTTATTTGGGTATTCAGAGTGAGCCGTGGATCCGCGATGGATCCTTGTTGGTTTGTAAAACTACCGCTCGGTCGTTCCATTAAAATCAGTCATCGGTATGCACGAAGGGGTGCTCGTCGTCGAGCACGTAGACGAAATATGCGACCGCCCCCGGCAATCGCGGAATAGAATCGATCAAATATGAGAATCGTGATCACGCGATGACGTGCATATGCTTTCGACGTTATTAGTCTCCTGGTATTCCGCGGCATTGACGGATTCCCTCCACTATTTCCATCCTTGCGTTTCACTCGCGGATAGAATCCACCCTCGCCTTCCAAGAAACGCTAGATCGGAAGCCATTTTTGCTCAAGGTCTTGTAAAACACGAAGACATATTAACATTGCAATATTTGAAATCGTATCTCAACATTTTCTTCGAGGTTTTCTTGTACACTGAACAGACTAGAGATATTTGTTATTTTCTGTATCTACAACGGGATTGCAACAATGCGAATAGATGTTAATCTAGCACCAAGCGAATCTGTATGGATCGAATGTTGTTGAACAGGCAAGAAGTCGGTGCACGAGCATGAAAGTGGAGGGTGGAGTGGCGACCACGACGATCCTCCACAAGGTCAAGGTGAAGGAAGAGGCGAAAGAATGCTGCGGTTATCAGCAGTCGTCTGCGTCGACGTCGACGGGAACCGCGACCATCGCAACGGTGACCGCCCCGAGCACGAGTATCGCGACCACCGTCAGCAATAGCAATAGCAACGGCGTGTCGAGCGTGGCCGCCACCCCGTCGACGACCACCGTGCCCAACGCCTCCCCCGCAACCGCCGCTATTGTCTGCCATCCGTCGACGCCAGCCTCTTCCGTCACCGTCACCGTCACCGCCAACGCAGAGCCCTTTCCCGTCGATCTCGACCTCAAGGCCAAGGCCAAGGGTGCGTTACTTTTTTCTCTTTCAAACGATTATCATCCAATTACACTTAACCGGCTGGCTAACTAATCGCGAGTTAACTCGTTCAATCTTTAGCCTATATTGCAGTAGTTATTAATAACAAGCTTGGTCCCCTTTATCCATTGACATTGCTATAATTTTTTCAAATTTCATCGCAATACTCGAAAATATGAATGTTCCGAGGTTTTCTCCCGAGAATCGCTCGTTCCTTGAGATTTTCTCGCCAGGAGGGGTCGACGCGAAGAAAAGTTCCGTCCAAAAAGGGAAAAGCAACGGTTAGTGTGTGTTTCCGTGCGAGATCGTCGGGTTTAGCTGTGGGCACATCGCGCATTAGTTTGGAATATTGCATAGGGGTACCCGTATATCCAGGCCGCGGGCATACTCTCGTCCGAATCGTACATTTAGACCGAACTGGTTATCTAGACGGGCCGGAGCCCGCAGCTACCTTGGAAATGGCTCAGGAAAAAAGCCCGCCTCTCTCGTCAAAGCCCCGTCATCGCGCGTCCGAACGCCGACGCTACCAGTTTCCCGCCTCTGTCACCGATCGATCGGTTTTCGTGAACCGCGACGGCGCTTCATCCTGCGGGGAAAACGAGAATTTTCCAATTTTAGGGGCTGCTAAAATCCTATCCTAGACTCTCTTTAACCCGGTACTCGATTACAGGAGGTTCTCCGGAAGAAACATCGTTACAATCTTTGCCAATTTTCCTATCGATCTCGTCGCGAGTTTCGGGCTTTCCAATGAAATTTCGAAGGTGGATCGTAAAAAATTTACTCAGTCTCCGCCGCGGTCCGCGCGGACAGATGTTTAGACCATCACCGACACGCGCGTCTCTTTGGAAATCCTCCGTAAGTCCGTCGAGCTGCGTCTTCATCCCCGAATCTACAATAAAGAAAAAAAAAAGAATTTATTTTCGCACGCTTTGGATTCAGAGCGCCACGAGTCTTCGAGAAACGTAAAACAGTGATGAAATTTTTACCGATAGCGATACGTCCTTTCCGTTAATAACGGCGACGGAGGGGGGGAAGTAGAAGGAAGAGATCCAGAAGGGTGGGCGAGGAGGAGCACGTGTGCAGTGTGGCTGTGTGCGCCAGCACGAAATGCGATCGCAGAACAGCTCCATGGGGGATGGCGAAACTCCTGCGAGCAGTCAGTCAAGCTGGTTGGTCGGGGCCCTCGGTGTGTTGGTTAGGTCGGTTCGTGCAGCGGCTGACTGCCTGGACCAGACGCGATAAGGCACGTCCAACACTTCCACCGGGATTCTGCTCGAGGCTGATATCATATCCGGTACACCGTCGGCATCCCCGACGTTGCCGTTCGAGGTATTTTGCGATAGTCGTCCGCGCCCCGCCAGCCCGGGCTACCACCTTCTTCTCGGATATGCTTACGACGTAGAACGAAAACGAGTTCCACGGAGCACATCCGTTCTCCTTTCCGGGCGTCTCCAATTTACCCCCCCGCGCGGCCGAGTTTTAAACGCCGCCGAGCCCCCAACCCCCTTTTGATAAGATGCCGCGCCACCGTGGACTTTATTAGGATTCGTGACTGCAATTCCGAGAAATGGGTCTTACGTTAGACCGGCCGGGATATTAAACTCTCCGCCCAGGCAAATCCGATTGGACCGCGCGCACACGCCCCCTCGTTGGAAAATACAATCGAGGAAATTTTTATCTCGTGACACTTTCGCGGTTCCCCGCCGAAATCGAACTCGAAGGGTTGACAGAGACTCGTGTTTGTTAGATTTTGAAGACAGAAAACGGGTCGAAGTTGACCCACTTCTTCCAACAGAATTTGCGGATCATCTTTCATCTAGACGGTTCGGACTAATTCTGATTCACGCGATTTAGCGCAAAACTGACAGTGTATACATTCGCACCTAATAATAGCACGAAGCGGAATCGTGTAGAACTAATAAATTGGAAAGTACCATAACTTCGGTGAGAATGTATAGTACGGCGAGAGTCGAGGATAAGGATTATGTAGATGCTATTACTATGCTAATATCTTCGCGAACTTTTTGCTCGAAACCCTGATTCTTTTCTATTTAATTTTGTAATCCTGGAGGACCGTAAAGGAGTGTCGGCTTAGAAATTAATTACCCGAGCAGGAATACTCGATATCTATTTCGGGTGCTCCGAAGCAAGCCTAAGTTTCACGGGGGAGAGAATCGCGAGGCATTCCGCGTGCCAGATGTCGTCGAACGCGAGAATAGAGGCCGACGAAGGGGGAGCCAGGAAGCAGAACCGAGATCGGAAATCGTAAAGAACCGAGGAAAATAAAAGGAGGACCGACGAAGGACGGAAAAAGGAGGAACGAGTCCGCGAAGAACGCGGAGAAGAGGTAAAATGGACGCGGAGGGCGATCAGGAAATGGACCGAAAGGGATAGAAAAAAATAGAGTGCAACAGAGGCAGAGAGAGAGATTCGGGGGGGAGGAGGAGGTGGTACTCGAGGGAGGCGGGGAGAAAGGAAGCGAAGGGAGGAAGAGATGGCTGGGAAGGGATTGCGATCAAAGCCATCTGTTGCATTGTCCCGGCAATTAGGAGGCGACAGCTGAGTCCCAGCGTACTTACTTCCACCCAGGGACTCTCAGCCGAGTGGAGCACGTGCGCTTTATCGATCTCTCTTCGCGTTCGTGAAACGTCGTCTGCGAAGACAACGAGCCGCTTCTATGTTGCTCTCGCGTGTGCTCCAGGTGCGCGTCGAACCAGCCGCGAGCTACGCGCGATTCACGAGCCGCTGTCGTTCGAAACTAGCCGTGCCCCAGATGGCCATCAGCCGCGAATATTAGGTCCGCGATAACGTTTTTCAAACATTTCGTACCTCACAGACTATTTACGTCATCGACGATCTGCACCATGCAGAAGCACACTTCCGGTTTCATTTTGGCTTTTCAATGATAGATCTTGAGGAACTGTTTATATCATATTCTATAACATCGAGTTGCATTTCTCGAAATAGTCATTGAAACTCTTTTGGCACCCAAGTATTTAAACCATTATAAATAGGATTTGTTCAATGGTAAATTTCGACGAAAACGTTGAACGAGGGTGATTCGCGATCGGTGCCCCCGCGAATATAAGGCGCGTTTAAGGTAATTTAGTTTGCCGTGAGTTCAGGTACAGGTAATTACCTCTTGGCTACCGGCGTCAGATTGCAGTGACACGGTGGCGCCGTCCTCCCCCTTGTCCCTCCCGCTGCTTACCTACGTTACGAATTTACGTTCACACAACGTTGGAAATTCCCGCCCTTGGACCTATCGAGAGCTCGACGAATCGACCTGGGGGCCTCTTACAGTTTCCCGTGCGAACGAAAGACGCGACATTTTCGGCCTTTTACCTTCCACAAAGGCAGCCTACCTTCGTTGGAAAGATGTCTACGAGCGTGGCGAATGTTATCGAGATATGTGTTGAGTCATTTTCGAGTAACGGAGGAACAGACGGAGAGAAGAGAGATTTTTTTTGACTGTAGTGTCGTTAAACGAAAGAAATTTAGTCGTAGTACTGACCGCGAGATGTATTCTCGTTACATTTGATGGATTTTTCCGCGGCCGTAGCGTGAAATGCACGGCTTACTTTTATGGAATACCATTAGCTGGCTGATTACGCGCGATGCACGCCCGCGCGTGCAGGTGCACCGTTCGTAAAACTAGACATACGCGAACGAGGAAGCAATCGAGCCTGGGCGCTTTAACGACCAACAGGGAGAAGTCTCTTCTCGCGTGAAGGAAAACGAGAATTATTTTTTTTTATCAACAACGGTGTCTTCTGAACAATTCGGAAGCCATCAGAGGGTGAGAATTTTCACCGTGATGATGGAAATACCGATAGGAACTACTTTCGCGTCAACAGTCCGGGGCAGAAAGTCGGTCTTGAAAGCGGGTGCTACTGAAATCGAACGGGGGCCGTGTCAAAGCGGATCGCAGACGTAGAAATCACGTGTGCAGAGAGATTAAACTGCGAAATGAAAGGAAACGTCACCGAATCGCGGTTGTTCGGAGGGACGAGGCTACGCTAGGCGTCGGGCTCCAACTGTCAGTCAACGCTTCACGACGCGGGGACGGTTCCGCCGTGTGTAACGTTTCGTTATCGGCACATGTATATATAATATACGTATATATATATATATATGTATGTATATACTATATATATTCTATGACGGCGTTTTGCCACGCATGCCACGGGGCCGGAGGCATTCCGCGAGATAACGCGCGGAACACAGAATGGGAACAAGACAAGGTGGATGACACGGCCCGTAATTGCATGTTATCCGCTGCACCCACGCACAGAGTACACGGTCGACGCGCATCTGTGCCTAGCGCTGGTGTGCGTGGCTATCAGCGTGTTTGTAAACGAGTGGCCGATTCGCCTGCCCGTTTCACGTGCCCCGTGGTTGACGGCTCCCCGGATGTACCGAGCACAAAGGACGTTTGCGGCGACGTTGTCCCTTTATGCTGAACGCTCTTTCGACTCTTGCCGAGATAAATCATGGTTTTTACTCCGATGCCTCTTGCTTCTTCGTCAAATTGCTTCCGGGACGGAGATTTTTTCCCTCCCGTGGATCACGGGGAACGCTAGAACCACGGGATAAAGGGCCCGTATACGGACGACGCGCATTACACACTCCACGCTCCTAATCTACGACGAGGAATGCACACGATTTCTCCTTTTTCATGGTCCCATTCTATCTTAAAAGATAAATAAATATAAGCATATTAAAATAAAGAAATACAAATTGTACCTATTGAGGAGATATACATATAAGTAATCTTACAAGTAATAAGAAATGGCAAAGAAATAAATTCTTCTATTCATAATCAATACGATATCTCATACGCTAATATTAAATATACTTGCCTTCCATTTTCGTTGACAAAATTTTGTAAACTGCCCAAGTCGCACAATTCTTGTTATGAAAATTTCTCTATTATTAAATAATAACAGAGACCTAACCCAGACCAAACTTTTATAGACGCCGCTGATGTTGGACGTTGGTCGCGTGGATCAGGTTGATAAAAGAAAGTGCAATTTGATTGCAGTGGGTTCGGCGACGAGGGAGAAGTCCCCGCGGGAAGAGGTCCAACCGGAGGTGCACTCGCCGTCCTCTCATCATCATCAAAGGATCACCTCCGCCGCGGCGAGCGGTCAACAAAAGCAGAGCAATGGTCCGCGATCGGAGTACAAAGGGACAACCGGTTGCTCGGTGTCCTCCGACAACGACAGTCCCTTGCCCTCGCACTCTCTGAAGCCCGAGTTCGAGGATGGAATTGGCTCTGGCGCTGGCAATGCCGGGGCTCCTGCCAACTGCAGAACGGAAGAGCAGAACGATGTATCCGCGCTGTCGAATGGCACCACCGGCACCAGATGCATCGCTGGTGTTTTCGCCGGTCACGGCATGTTCAAGAGACTGCTCGGCACTCTCGTGCAATTCGCTACGAACATCTCCCTGGACACAGGTGACACCGTGCGAACTCTGGTGCTGACGCTTCTGGTAAATTCCTTCCCTCTTCTCGCTTCTTTCGCTCTGTCCTATCGAAATGTTACAAATCTGGGTCATTCGTCGACACAAGTGGCTCAATAAAAAGTATATAACACCGGTATCATCGATAATTACGAAGATATTAGGGTCATCCTGCACGCAACGCTTACCTCTTCGGACCAAATGATCGTCGACAATTTGTACAAGTTTCAAAGAACCCGTAAGTCTCCGGGTAGCATTATCCCGTGGTGCTTGTAACGGGTATTCTACGATCTCTCGTAGTCGCAAACTCTTCTAGTAGTAACAATAAGTAACGTACGCGTACCAGCTGACGGAGCTGGCTGGGAACAAACTACGCGTACCTTCGTCATACGCAAAGTGCACTTGCGATCTCCGAGACAAGCAGATGCGTGCGTGTACTTTACGATGCGTTTAGAGGGACTTGTACCCGTTTGCCCTTACAAGTAATCCTATTCGTTAGACCTTCCAACGCCCGCGACTAACAAGGAAAGTTTACGATCCAAGGGTATCTTTTTTAACGGAATACGGTCTGGCAAATTTTCAACACGTTTCATTCATTATTCGTGTATTCGTGATAAAACAAAACGAAGGAGAACATGACTTACCCCACCGGAGGGCGTAAGCTACGACTCCCCATTGAATCTTCAATAACCCCTACGGTTCGACGGGCTTCCAAATGGTCCTCGAGCCTAGGATAGGGGATGGAAAATAGTTGTCAGACTCGTCACGATCCTCCGATGGAAAGAATTCCCGTGGATCGTCCGAACGGTTGGAAATATTCAAATTACGTTGCACAGGACGCATCACGTTACCGCGTGTACCGAGGTTGCACGCGCCCCGGAAACGTGACATCTGGTCGCCGTGCTTAACCGTAAAACGATCGTGGCACGTGACAAACGTGAAATCGCGACCACCGTGCGTCCATTTCTTCGGGGGTAGGGAAACAGAACCCCCGGGGGACAGAGATTACTTTCCGACCGTTACTGGATGCGTGGCGAACGATCGGCGCCGTTAATCGAGCGGAATCCTCTCGGTTGTCGTTGCAGAACGGGAGCAGAACCGCGGAGGAATTCCACTCGGCGTTGCAGGAAGCTACCAACTACCGCCTCAGAGGCTTCGTGTTACCATACCTGAAGCACACCTTGCCTTCTTTGCAGAGGGACCTGAACAATGCCGCCAGAGCGAACAACCAGGTGAGTCCGCTTCTTCAGCGTCCTTTCGCAGACTATCTGCAACAGAACAAACTACTACATGCGTTAATCGACGAATATTAGAAGAGTTAAATCGAATTTGGGAATTCCACCCTTGGAAATTATAAATGAATTATTTTTACCTGTCTGGCATACTTATAATCTCGTAAACGATTAAAAGATCGTTGGACGTGTCGCCGGATAGGCAACACATGTTTTTTTCGGCGCGGGGAATGAAAGAATCACCGAGAATAACAATGGCTGACCCATAAGGAGCCCGGAATGCTTTATTAGAGTCGCTACGAGGGCTATAAATCATCGTGCGCGGCTGCAACGTGGCGTAGAGCCGCGCACCATGAATGAACGAAAACCGTCATCCACCCTGTGTCCACCTAACATGGATTTTTGTTTGTAAAAGAAACACCATTAGTCGGAAATTATAACAAGGGTAAAAATCGCTGCAACTATAACTCTAGAAATCCTTATTGCAGTAACGACAAGAAGCCGCACGATCGATTCAAAAATAGCGTGTCCAGCTTTCGATTTATTTTCTATAACAACGTCTCTTGAATAATATTATTAAACAGGAGAGCGATACGACGTATTGGGTTTTATTAACCTATATAGCGACATCGCTGCTGAATTTTTCGATATGGCGTGCATTGCTTTATGCCTTTTGGAAAATGCTGCAATGCGTCGCAGTCGAAACCTGTACTCGATCTTTTCTCTCTCTCTCGACGCGAGGCAGGTAAATTTTTCGCGATAGACACGCGCGCGCAAACTGCGGATTCCGGAGGCAGAAACTGTTTCTCGCTTTTATAGGGTGATCGATGTCTGGCGAAATTCATGACGACGGAAATTTAGAACGTTCCGGCGAGAACCGAGCACGGAGATTGGGAGCATACACATTTATAGGTCGGGAAGATGGGAACGAAGAGAGACATCGGACACGTGTGACATTTCCAAAGCGCTAGATCGACTTCTGAATAACAAACGATTCTAATCTTACCGCGTTCTCGCTTAGAATTCCCCCCCCGATTTCCCGCGTGCGCCATCGACAGCCTCTACCATCGCGTATGCGATTTAAAATTCACGTTTCAACGAACGAGATTGGAAAATATATTTTAAAACTAAGTTTTATACAGATTCTATTCTTGACAATTACGATGATATCGCTATTTTCCAACTATCGTAAGCGTTCAACGGCGAAAAGAACGCTGGAGAACCGGCGAATTGCGTTACGAAATGTGCTCGTGCACACGATGGTCAGATGTAGATGAGAGTTCTATTACGCGCACGCTTGTTAAACTTCGTAGAACGAAGACGGAAGAGAGAAAACGCGTCCAGGAGTAGCGGGTAAAATCAACAGAGCCCGGGCTGACCGGCTGCCAGCCTGTTTTAATTTCCCAGGCTACTTCGCGATCGTGGGTGGGAGCACGCCAGCCTGTTTCACGGCGAGATAGATGAACGGAATCGAATGGTAAAGGCGAACTTGAAAACCCGTGGCACGGAAACGCTCGTTACCAAGGAGACAACTTTCGTTCGTTTATTTCCACGGCGGATTTTACGATTCCGCCTCGACCAAGAACCGAACGTTGCGGGTACGCGCACATTGAGCGCACCTGACGCAGCGCAGCGCGCCATTTGCCAGACCGTAGCAATTAAATTTTCCCATTCTCACGACACGCCCTCTCGAGACATCTTTATTACATTTTAGTAATTAATAAATAAAAAGCCTCGCGTACGTTGTAACGCGAACGGTTGAAAAATCGGTTCGTCGAGAGGAAAGACGCGAAAAGATGGCGGTAAATTTCGAATCTGTGCATGTAATGTACGTAAGACGATTAAAGAAAAGCTCGGGAACGCGTAACCGCCGTTCACATTACGCGATTTTGCTTTTCGAGCCAGTCTTCCGTGCGTCGCTGTCTGGTTGTTAAAACCGCCCGAAACGGTGAACATAATCCTGTAAACTGAAACGTTCGCGCAGATACTGGGCTTATTTATTCCCGCATCTTCCACCGCGACACGGTTCGGTTCATCGTTTTCATCGTGTTTTTACGCACACGCTAGATGGGATCTCGAAATACAGTTATATCCCTTCTCTGCTAACCGTTTCATAAATATTAAAGAGACAGGGGGAAGGCAGGTTTATTTCGTCTGAACCGAATCTGTAATTCTAGCATTTGTTTCTCATATTATAGAACGTGGGTCGTAAAATCAATTCTCTCGATGTAAAAAAAATGTCTTTCGACCGATTGTAAATCCGTTGAAAAGTAAGGTCCGGTCTCTCGACGAAATAAACCGGACTCTTTTGAGTTTCCCTTCGAGAACGGAAAAGAATTCGTAATCCTCCTTGAGAAAGAATAAAGTACGACTCGTGGAATTAATAGAAGTCTTCCGGTTACGCGACTGCTTCCAGCTGTTGCCCGTCTCGAAAGAGAGCGAAAAGAAAAAGTAGACGGAACACAGACGGTGGATGAAGCTGAAGCGGGACGAAGAACACGCGAAGAGCACCAAGGAGCGAGTCGCGCGGTAACGAATTGCAAATTAATAGCAACGATTTACATTTCTCGAGGCAACCGACGAACGATCGAAAGACCCAGAGGCAACGTCAAATTTCTTCGCACAGGCACACCCTTTTGTCCTCGATCCCTAACTTGGCGAAACTATTCGATCGACAATGGTATTCGCAGAGATTTTTATTCTTCTCAGAAACTGGACTAAAGATCTGATTTCGAACCTTTTGTCCTCGATTTCTGATTAATGATTAACAACACTACTTGATCGATGATAAATAGGATAGACTGGTATGTTTCAGTTCGTCACGCTTCGATTTTCTCTCGAAGACACGGGTGTTTTAGCCTGAAAACAGAAACAGTTGTTTTAACATTTCTGGTGTGCATTAAAATGTATTTGTAATTACAAGAGGTGGAAGAACGAACACGAAATGTATGGTATCAGGAGTTTTGCGAAACTGGCTGCTTTGCAATGCGAAAAGGTTGGCCGTTCCTTGGCAGTTCGCGAGGAAACGAAGACGCGGGGGTGTGCGTCTGCGAGCACGGAACCGCCGATCGATGATCGTTAATTGAGAATTGGGAACGCGAGAACGCGACCGAGCGAGGGGTCGAAAGGAGACGGAAAAAGGTTCCAATATTGAATTAGAAGCGATAAATCCCACCCTGGCAGGCAGACTTCGGTATCGAGGGTGCGAGCACGAAAGTTTGGACGAAAGGTGGTGCCGGCCGTAAAGAAGCCGACGGACGAATATTAAAAATCGAAACTGATTGGGAGCAGCCGTGCTGACCGGTCGCCGGGCCGTGCTCGACGGATACGTACACGTTTTTACGACGTTCTGGGAAAACGATGCATAAAACGCGTCGCGTTTTACGGACGTTCGCGTTCCTTAATGCTCGGAAAGACAGCGCGAATCAAAACTATCTGCAATTTCGCGAACGTATTCCGTCTGTTATGGAAACTTTTCAGCGTTTGGGGAACACAGGCTCAGACGCTTATTAATCCCTTACTAATCCAGTAATGACCAGACTCGATTGCAATTAAGATAACTTGATACAAGTAGAGGTATATAAACAGACGTAACTAAACGCTTATTTACAGCTTGTTTCCAGGTCTGTTATATTGAAGTAACATATTTCAGTAATAATTAACAGGACTGGTAAGATCCTTTCGTACGAAAGCTTGAGAAATTATTTAATTTCGATGGAGTTAACGAGTTGGCAGGCGATAAGATTTGATTTGATTCTGTCGACAGAGTTGCGCGCAATTCTTACGATCGAACGAGGCAGCGGTTCTGGAGGCCGTCGGGTTGCTGGCGGCAGGGGAGCCGGTGGAGATCTTCGGAGAGCAGGCTGGCAACGGGCTGGGAAGTGGAAACGGAATAGGAAACGGCGGCAATCAGTCCTCCGCTCATTACGGCATGCGGTCCAATTCTAATCCCGGTGTCGGTGCTATTCAGCACACGAACAACGCCACGGGCGGTCTGCACCATTATTCCAGCACCGCACCGCACGCACCGAAACGTCGCGCCTCCGACACTCCGTGAGTGAATCCGTAATGCTGTTACGAAATTTTGCGACACCCGCGCGTTGGTCAACCGATTTCATCCTCTCCGCCTCCTGCAAAATAACAATAACTCGATCACTCGGAAATCTTGTAATCGCGATCGGGTTTACACCGGGAAGTGCAGCCGCTTTCACCGAGATTTATGAACGGCGTTGCTCCATTTTTTGAGGAAATATTATAATGGACCAGAGACCCGAAATCTTCGACCATCTATAAACGTAATTTATCTACGCGCGAACCATCGCCACGCACCTGCGCGTACACGCGTGCGTAGTATATTTGCCAAGCCGCAACGCGCCGCCGTTTTCGAAAAAATCTTGGCCGCGGGCCTGCACTTCTCACCGATATTTATCGCGACGCGGTCGCCATTTTCCCGCCAAACTCGGAAAATTCAAGTTAAATCTCAGTTATCGAAAAAATAGAATATTAACCACGTGTAAAAGTTCAAGATACTACAGTTCGCGTAAGTGTAATCCTATACGTTTGAAAAAGGGATCGAATCGTGGGGTAAAAGAAATCCGGTGAATGGTTTAGCACGAAGGCAGTGCATCGTCGCGAGAAAGAATGGACGTTCCGGGAAGACATATGTATAATGTCTTGGGAATCGACGAGGTGGTTGGTGCACGAGGGTCGGTATTTGCGGTCAGAATATGATATGCGCGTGTACGCGGAAAGGAAAGGGGCGCCGAAGCGAACTCGAAGGCGACAAAACGCGACGCGCGCGCTGGCAATGCCAGGTTTGGCCTCCTCTCGATATGTCTGCCGGTGACGTTTCCATATATCATCGGGGTACCACCTTTCTCGAACACCCCCGACCGTCCTTCTCCCGGGACCCCTCTATTCTCTACCCTTCGACTACCAGCGAACTTGCCTCGAGTGCCTATCGGCATCCCGCTAATACGACCCACGTTCGGCTTACGCCTCGACGCTCCTGGCTGTTTGCGTAGCTGCGCCAGCGAACGCGTGCACGTCCGAACTAAATTACAAAATCTCCCTATCCCCCCTCCTTTGCCGCGATACTCGACTAATCCGTGCCGGGAGGATTAACGCCAACGGAAAACGATTCGACGCGACGCGATCGATCGATTCACTATTAACGCTCGTCGATCTACGCCCCGACATTTTCAACCCCTTCTATTTCGCGCCTACATTAATCCTTCCACTGCTTAACAAAATTATAAGACACAATTTAAAACATGGGGTAGGCGCAGAAATTAAAAAATTTCGGCGAAATTAAAAACTTTCAAATCATTCTAAAAAAATTATTTTTAGTTTCGGGGGTCAATTACAAACATTTTCAGTGAATAGACATAACGCCGAAATCCTAGCCATTTTCGAGAAAAAAATTCGCTAGGTAGAGAAATTTTTCGATGAAATTACAAATTTTCAAATCATTCTAAAAAAATTATTTTTAGTTTCTGGGGTCAATTGCAACCATTTTTGGTGAATAGACATACCCACGAAATCCTACGTATTTTCGAGAAAAAAATTCGAGTATGTGGACAAATTTTTCGCCGAAATTAAAAACTTTCAAATCATTCTAAAAAAATTATTTTTAGTTCCGAGGGTTAATTACAATCATTTTTGGTGAATACACATATCCGCTAAATCCTCCTCAGTTTCGAGAAAAAAATTCTTTACCGGAAATGTAATGTAGTAAAGGATTACAGGTTTCTGGCTTCCAGGCACTTTACACGCCACGTTTTACCTTCCATCGATCAAACTTCAGTATATTATAAACGAAGAAGATAATACTATTTAAAAGCTACCATTAAGCGAGCAATCGACACCCCACGTTCGCACAACCCCTAGTGATCGATACCTCTGGTAACATTAATGGAGCCAATACAATTGGACATGTCTGGTCGAAGTGTTCATGTACCTCTTGAACATGTCGCAGATATTACGAGAACGGGGCACTCCTGGACGACGTGCCCGTGTATGGAAAGAGATCAACGAATCCCTGGAGTCACCACCATCAGCAGCAACAGTCTAACGAGAGTTCCTCTTCTTATTGTTGGTATCATCCGCTTCATTCGTCGAGCGGGTCGATGCCGGGTCACGGGCACCGCCACGGTCACGGACCCAGCCCAGTGCCGCCTAGTCTCGTGCAAATTAATCAGATAAATGCATTCTCGGGCACGCACCATCTAACCCAACAGCAACAGCAGCAACAGTTGAGCCACGTTCAAACGCAGAACGGCAGCCTCGACGACGAGTGGAAGAACATCCACGTGATGTTGAACTGTATCCTGGGTATGGTCGAGAAGACCAAAAGGGCGCTGGCCATTCTTCAGACCCGGGGATGCTCCAGTCCAGCGTCGATGCCCCCGTTGGCAGCGTCCACGTCCACCGGGGCGCAGAACGGTAACGGCGGCAACAACACTAGCGTTGCTAGTAACAATCCATCCTCCACGAACGGTTCACAGGTGGAATCGTCTACGGGCGATCGGGAGGGTAACCTGAAACGATTATCCGGTGAGATCGTTGCTCAGACAATAAGGGTCACCGAGGACAAAGTCGCCGAGGTGAAGAGGAAGGCTGGTTAGTCGTCGTTCCATATTTTTACGTTCTTCCAGGTGTTCAGGCTAGAAGTAACATGTTCTAATCGTGTTCCTCGCAGAAGAAGCAGTGCTGGAGGTGAAGAGGGCTGCTGTGGCAGAGGTTCAGAGGGCGGTGGCGGTCGCAGTGGCCGAATCCAGGGCGAACGAACGCCTCCGTGTTCATCGACTGCTCGATCTTCCCTTGTCGCAGAGAAATCACGGTGCTCATCGTCAGGGCCCGTTGCTCCGGGTCTATGGGAATCCTGGCGTGGTGGACGCCAACGCGAGGGCCGTCACGACGCCGACCACCACTTCGAATCCGATGCCATCGACCACGGAGGACGAGAAGGACGCGCATTTGCAGACCATCTCGGGATCCGTGAGTACCCCGAACTTCTGGTTCTTTGCTTAATTCTTCAACGTTGTTTTTTTATTTATAATTATGTCCGATATTTTAGAGCTGTTGGAATTGCGGTAGACCCGCTCTGGAGACGTGTGGTGGTTGTGGGATCGCGCGATACTGCGGATCCTTTTGCCAACATCGCGACTGGGAGGCCGGAGGACATCACGCGTCCTGCAACAACCCTCCTCCGCGCGAGTTCAGAAGGTCAGCGTCACGCAGCCCACCGAGAATCGCTACCGGAAGTCTGTCGACGAACGTGGACGTGGACGTGGCCGCGCCTATATCGGCCAGCACCCCGTCCAAAGGGAAGTGACATCACGACGCGAAGTATAATCACGTTCGTCGATTCGCCAGACCTATCCAATACGATTCGCGCGATCCGCGTTCTCTCGTTTAACGAGTCATACATCTTCTGCGTACCTTCTTCGGGCCTCTATTTCTTCTTTCCGACGAGTTTCCTCGAGACATCCCGCGCGCCATCGTGTTTTTCTCTGTAAAATAGGAACCGCCCTGTCCCTGTCGCAACCGCACGAGATTTTACGCTTCGAGTAGCAGTAATTGTTTTCGCAACACGAAATCGAAATCTTTTCATCGTCGGGCGTAACGTTCTACGCGAGATTATTGTGGGAATCGTTTCGCTACGAACTTATGGCGAGACGGTGCGATTACGTACACGTAACAAAATTTCACCCTCTATGATCGTTGCATCATCGTTCGTTGGATATCTTCTTTAGAATAGCGTATGATGTATGTCGTAATGACACTCTTTTTCTCGATGGGAATGAAAACGTAGAGATAAATTACTGATATCGTGTTACGTATATAAATGTGCACTTTTCCAGCTATTCCGGATCGTAGAGGGTTTGAATAAGCAATAACTGTAAGGCTACGAGATACGTACATACAATCAAGTACAAGAATAACCCTGGTTATTGGACTTCTTTTTTTCTTTCGCTCGATAATTATATAACAGATGAAACGTACTCGTTGTTACAAAAAAGTACTTAAAAAAAAAAGAATGTAACTAGTACACGCTATGCTCTCTCTCTCTCTCTGTCTCTACAAAAAATACCGTATGAAAATATTCTTACATGCTTGTTACTAAATTTTTCGGAAAGACAAGAAACGCTACTGTAAAACTCGTAGGAGATGTCCAATTTTCTTATATAATTTCCGGAAAAGTGTACGAGTCATAGTCAGCCGCTTAAGAACTTGTTACTCCATTAAAACAACTACCTTAAAGGAATATAATTTATTATCGATAATTCTTATCCGAGGTATCGTTAATGCATTTGAGTTTTTACTTGAGTCGATGTACAATGTAGAAAAACACGGTGTATCGACCTTTTCCTAGTCAATTGATAGATTTAATGATCGCAACGAGTAATGTAACGAATGCTAATACAAATTTTTACTTTGTACGCGTCGAAATGTAACCACCGTATATGTACATTTAAGTCTAGTCATCGTCGGGAGGTAAAACGAATTTATCGATCATACGCATTAGGGAACTTTGCTCAAATCTAGATTACGAATCATTGTATGTTTTCCTAGCTACATTGTGTTGCAGGGATGTATGATGGATTCTATAAATTGTATTTATGAATTCACGAAATACATAATTATTCTATGTCATAATGCTTAAAGAAAGAGCACGCAAACAGTTTCATTTCACCTTTACATTTTATTTTACATGCGCGCAGATTGCAAGTTTTCTAAAATTTATTTAATATAAATACAATAATGTAAAAAAAAACGAAAATGATTGCGAGATGCGATCATTTTTTCGGCTCGGTCGAGTCCCCTATTATATTTGCAAACAGAGCTCTCGTCTTTTCTTCCTTTCCCAGCGCTTCCGTCCAGTCCTTCTTGTTCCTTGCAAATAGAGGAACGTTAAATTTATTATATATAATTAGTCCCGATTTCGTGGAACGCAACGATTCTCCAACTGCAGCTAATTCTTCCATGATTAAAATTCTTTGATTTATGCGCGCCCACTGCCACATCCTTTCTAAACTTCTGGAACCGTGTGTACTTGTAGCTAATTGTGCCCAGCATCCTTTCATCTTCTTTGCAAGCTTCTCCCTACTTTTCTCACCTATGTACTTACTATCCATAAAAGCGTCCGCGATACGACTACCTTTTGGATCACCAAACAAACTCAATAGTTCCTCCTTGTCTGTTTCCAACAAGGAATTAACAATCTTTATTGGCTTATTAAACTTGAGAATAGCTTGCACCATTAAGCTTCCATGCAAGTTGACAATGAATTTCGAATTGTCCTGTTTTCGAAAATCTTCTAACTGTTCCTGTGTTTTCAAAGTTGCTATGCACATCACGATCAGATGCTGCTTCTCATTCGCTTCGCAATTAAATAGTTTCAAAAGTGCACTTACAAATGCACCCTGCTTTATTTGCAGTCTCATACAAGCATTTCCCAAGCTAGCCAGAACTCCTGTGTAACCCTTCTCAAGAATGTCGGAAACACAGGTAAGAATTTCTTCAAATATTTTCTCAAAATCTTCTTTTACAGCACAGTGATCCAACAGCCTCTGTACACTGAAGTTTGTACTTTGCGTCAGGGACAATTCTTTCAAATTACCCAAAAAATACTGTTCATAAATTCTGTATAGAGATTTAGGTTCTGCTACTGCTAGACAAGCCTCCAATAATCTGATGGAACATTCCGCTTCAAAGATGTTTGATATTTGTTGGTTTTCTTTAGGTTTGAAACATTCGTTGGTAATTTTTTGAATATATGTTTCTGTTGTCTCACGATGTATATCCTTCAAAGAATACAAAATACTTTGCAATAATCCGGACGTAAGTTCGTCCTGACCAAATTCAAGAAACTGAGGCCATTTGTGAAATCTGTTGCAAATTTGCAATAACAAGTCTTTATATTCTTGTATCACCGGTCGTCTAGCGGCAAACAACGATTTCTTTTTCTCGTTATGATCGCGTTTGTCGATCAATCCTCCAAGGCATTCGAACACGGTTCTCAAAAGATGATTCGCGTACGTGTCGAACACGAATTCTTCTATGTTATTCGTAAAGTATTTGCTTAGTCTCAACACAATATCGTTATAAGCCTTTATTTCGGATTCCTTAATCTCTATACCAGCATCCGCGTTTTCCTCGGAGGATGATTTCTCAGATCCATCTTTGTTTCCTCTGTCCGCGCAAGTTGTTACGATTGTTTGCAAAACGTGGCTAGCAAATCTATCGCTGCTGAGTGGTCGAAACGAGGAGCCAAAAGCGTCGACCAACCTCTGTATCGTTTCTAAATTCGCATATTTTAAAAACGAATCCAGTATCCTGGACCCGATTTGATTTTGAGCATATTCGATCTCGTGACCAATAGTTTGTTCGTACACGTTATTTACAAATATTAACTTTTCCTCCAGCGTGGGAAAATCGCGTTTCATTAATTCCAAGATACGTACCATGTACTGGTAAGTATCAGAATCAACGTGAGACCCATGGTTCCTTTGCCTCGCGAATTTCTTCGCCATTTGTATTTGAGAACGTTTTTTCTTTCGTTTCTTACCTCTTTCGTCGCCGCCGTTTTCGTTAGCCATTGTTTAAAGCAAACTTCTGATGAACAAACGTACGAACGTCATTAGTATCGCAACGAACATAACCTTCTTACGCGACACGTGAGGGATTCAGTATCGCACCGCCATCTGCGTGAAAGAAACGAAACTATTATCGATTATCTCGAACGTTTAAAAATAAATTAATAAACATATTTCGTATCTGTTATTGAAAAACATAGACGAACAACTTGAAAAGAAACGAACGCATAAAATGGCATTTACTTTAAAACGAAATAGGAACAGGCATCCTAACGTATGCGCAAAGTAAATGTTACTTTCCATTTTGCGTTTAAATTACATCTCGTTTATTTGTACCTTACGATTCTTTCCTTTATTTTACACACTCGAATTAATCTACATAAATCTTCGTACGTCATACCGTAATTCGTATCAGCACGTTTATTCGTATATCAACAAGAAAGAAAACTCTGCAATGGACGTAATAATAGTGGAAAAACGTGGAAGAGAGAACGACTTCCGAATTGCAATTCTTTGGAACTCACTAGCCGTTTGTCGCGTCACAGGCTCGGCTCGGATCTTTTGCAACCGTCTTTCAACAAATAATCACGGGAAAGTCTTAATTCGCACAAACGGATATCTACTATAGTTAATTAAAGGCCCCTTCGACTGCTATCACAAATAGAGAAAAGAGCACACGTTGAACTAAAGTAGCTCTCATCGAGGACAATAAATTTCTTCCTTATCTAGTATGAGTTATATATATAGAGGATCGTTGTTTCTTTCTGGATTGACATTGACAGTTTCTTGTTAAAAACATCTGGTGTAGCGCTCGTTTCGCGTGAATTCACGTTGAACCACTCGATTGATCGTAAAACGCATCCCCGAACAAATAAAATTTGCGATGTCTCTGTGTATTGAAATCCGTTACAGGTACCTTCGAACACCAAATAAGTTCTTCACTCGGACTTCCTCGATAACGGTGACGTCGATTCGTTCGTTGACGAATCGTTACTTCAATTTATACTAATAAAGTTCAATTTTACCTAAATTCTCGTCAACAGTTCGTTCACCTGCTATAATGCGCAAAGCTGTACGACAGCGTGGCAAAGTTTTGGAATGCAGACGTTTCAGAATGCGAATATTTTCTTCTTCAACGACACGACGCGACGTCAAACGGCCCCGTATTCCTCGCTGGACGGTGACTCGTCGCTGGGTGGCGGCCGAGGCGGTCTGGGAGGTCTGGGGGGTCTGTGATGATGCACAACAGGAGCTGGCCTCCTCGGAGGCGGCGGAGGATGAGTACCGTAGGAGGTGTCGTCCCCCTCCTCGCTACTAGGTGAAGGTGACGGTGCTCTGTCTTCTTGTTCTTGCAACAGCTGTCGAAACTCTTGAATGGACTCGTTCAGGGACCAAAGTTGGGAGAGCAGTGACAGATCCAGTTGTCGAAGTCCAAACTGCAACACAACGGTTAGGAAAAATGATCCTCGGCGGTTGGTTCAGCGATTGCATAATTTCCAAACTTTTTGGAAGGAAGATAGTCTGATTAACTTGGAATCAAATTGTACTTAGATTTTTGGCGGAGAATCATTGGATTATTATTTGTTGCTCGAACGAGCGTCGCGCAATGTATGCTCTATCCGATCAGACACGTTCACTTTTACCAAGCGGTTGCCAAGGCAAATGCTGTTTCGTGATTTACGAACTGAAACGACGTATTTCCAAGCAAGTAGCGACTCACCGGTCGTGGGAATGAAGGAAGAGGGAGTTGGATAGGAGGCGCAAAATGAGAATGGAAATGAGAGGTGTCGGCGTGCTGAGAAGGAAGGTGAAGAGGACGAAGAGGAAAGACCCAGGTGGAGGTAGAAGGAACGAAGGTGAAAGAGAGCGGTCACAAAAAGGTGGCGAAGGAGGGGAGTCACGCCTGAGGGAATGCAGCGTGGGAGCGGCTGTGCCAGTTCGCTTCGTGTCTGGATTGACTATTAAACTATTAGCCTAACTTCCAGCCAAACTATATGTTTCTGACGCCGATTAATATTCCACGCATCCCATATCCAATATTCCATTTACGTATCTACATAATTGTTCCTATAAAACGCGTACCAGTGAAAATATGCAAATCCATCGACACTATTTCTATCGCGATTTTATGCATACCTATTTCGACCAAAAGGTGTCTGCATTTGGATGCAAATAACTGTGGAAATAATAGCTAAAAAATAGCTATAAAATAAAAAAACAATATTGTTCTCGTTCCTTGTTATGTATTAAATTCAAGGACGTTCATATCTCGGTTACTTTAAATACTCTGATGCAAAGTTGATTGCGATTGAGAATGAATATTCATAATTTCGCAATGCTACGGCAAGAGAATATCGTTACAAGGTTGATAAATGTCATGAGTCAATGTCAGTCATGTTAGTTTACTTTATACAGAGTAATTCGTCTTCCAAGATGATACAAGATACTCTTAAAATTTTTAAACACCGAGATTAATGTATTAATAGAAACAGATGTTTAAGTTCTACGCGTTTCTTCTGCGTGAAAAATGGTCTCTCGCGTCCTACTTGGATTGTAAGGCGCTCCCTGGTTTGGAAAACACTGGTTTAAGCTGTATGACATTTTGTTCCCAGCCGTGGAGAAGAAAAGCAAGGATCCGACATAACGGACAAAATGGTACGAGCGTTCATTTTACGGGAGGAGAGTGTCTTCTTTGTCGTTCCTTCCGCGTATTATCCCACGCTACGAATACATATTCATCGTGATCTGCAGTTTACCCACGCACTAACGTGGCCCCAAGGTAACGGATCAGATTGACGGAACTAAAACGAGAAAATTGTGGAGAAGGAAAGATAGAAGACGAAACGACGCCGTGCATACGAGAAATTTCGATTTTACGAAGAAAAGAATCACGACCACGATTATGGCTATGCCTATAAAATTCCATGAATTTAATCCTTAACCCGCGCACAACACTTTGCGACTCCGAGGACATGCATCAATGTTTTAAAAATCTCTTAACAGTGACGATTTCTCACACCAGGAAGGATACGCTTGGAAGAAGACTATTTTTATTAAAAATTACATTTCAATTTGTACCTCGTTATCCACGTTCATCCATGATCTAATATATAATCTCGTCAGAAACGAAAACTAATTTTAATTAAAACGGAGTTAAAACGACTAGATTTCTATTAAGATTACCGATACTCGAATCATCTTGTTCTGCCATTTATAGAAACTCGTAAATCGGTGGAATTTTCCTGTCAGCTGGTAAATACGGTTTACACGATGCGGATGACTAACGGTGTCTACTACAGCCACGACTTCCGCGACAGAATATTTATACCCTATTGGTATTTCAAATTTCGAATTTTATACAAAGCCGTAAATGTTGATCGTAGAAGTTAATATTTAAAATCTAACTTTCAACCATGATTTGTAATTTACATATCTTGGCGATTTATTTACGATCCCCGTAAAGTATGTTAATTAAAACTCTATCCCACACAATTTAAACAGTACAGCGTCTAAGAGATTACGTATAGGCGCAGCATTGAGGAGTTAACACATCACGCGTCTCTCTTCTTATGGCCAACCGACGTTCGCGACTTTCAATATCATCAGTGCGGAGGAACAAAAAAAAACCGTTCGTTTTTACAGATTTCAGATTGCATCCGTGGTAGTTTACATTTCTTTTTAGACGTTAGACGCAGCGCCTGGACGATCGAAAGCGTTTTACGTAACATAAAGAGAAAATTGTTGTTTCCACCGCGCGTGATCGTGTCGCAATGCGCTAGCTGCTGGGATTCCGAAGAAAATGTAATCGTTTTCTAATATCGACCATACGATTCCGGATCGGGCAACAACGAAGGGACAGCAAGCTAACAATGTTTCGACAATCACCATTTCTCTCCTGAGTATAGCCAGCTGAGTGTCCAGAGTGGTGAGCTGTCTGGCAGGTGGCGATGGCCTGGACGATGATTGGATCGAAGTTTTACCGCCTCTTTGAGTTTTGCTGGAGGATCTGGTGGGCGGCGGCGGTGGCTCGCAACCCTCGCGTCCACCGCTCAAATTAAATCCGCTCAAACTCCTCGGCAACGGTGGCAAACCTTGTAAGGAAGACATCGCGATCCTCTCTTGTAAACTGCAAAAACAAAACAATTTACATTCCAACTACACGATTTGCCGATTCCTCTCTCAATCTTTCCAAAGTCGAGTCACACACATACTCTCTGTGATCTTTATTATCAAGTACATAGCTTTTAGGGAAATACTAAGGATCCGGCATCTGTTCTATTCGACCTTGCGTTATTCGTTTAAAAAAATACCGTTTTACTCGCGGCTCTATTGTTTCTCGATTTGTCGATTCCCGAGACCTTGGCCTAAGGCCAACGAGTCGCACAACACTCGAGGAATCGTACATCGATTTCCCGCTAATAATCCAACAATGGCGTCGACGCTCGGTCGGTTTTCCTCGACGATGGATCTCAGATACGCGATAAAGGAAGCAAGTCTATTAACCAGCCGACGATTTTTTCGCGTCAATGGCACTTTTCTCGCGCGAACGACAAACGAAGTAGGTTAGGAGGTAAGGTAAATTAAAACCGCGACGATACCGATACAGAACCGCGGCGAAAGAAAATTATTAAACGCATCCGGTATCCCACATTTCTTTTTAGTCTTTCGTGTGTGCTTTGACACGTAATTAAATCGTTACGGCAGAAACGTACGGGCGCGTCGAATGCGCCGTGTAACTCGAGAAAGTCGGTACATCGAACCGCCGGATCGTTACATTCAGACATCAATCTCGTAATAGGTTTACAACCGACCGCGAAGTTCGCCACCAGCGGTATCACGGCTCTTTGATAATCAATGCATTAACAACGACGCGTTCTGTTGACCTGCGAAACATTATATCGACCATTTAACACCGACGCGCGACCGTTGCTCGGGGCACACCGCGAATGAAACGGATCCGTCGCGAATCGCGCTGGCACTTTGGTTTCAGAATTGGAAGGAACGTTTAATAAAAAAAAAAAACTCGGAGGAAAAATTGTCTTGACCTGTATGTAGGTCAGCAGAGTATTGCACAATCGATTACCTGCCAATTGGGAATCATACTCAATCCCACCATTTCAGTTGTTGTCATGTTTTCTAAAGTTACGGGCATTTATTAAACATTATTGCTTCACGAGGCAACAAAGCTCTCGATTTTAACTTTCTTGGGATCCCCATCTGATGGATAGATCCAACGATAACAAACGCTCACGTTTTATACTGCCTACCACGACTTACATCTAGATCACCAACGATAACGCGTACAAAGATAAAATGATCGCACCACCTATCAGTACCAGAGCAAATAGTAGATATCGACATTATCTGGAACGTGTGGAATAACGGAAACGAAACAAGTGTACTCTTTGGAAAACAAACTTGATAAAACGTCGTCGTGTGTAATGTAAAGGGTAATGACGTATTACCTCAGGAAATTAAGATCACCGACTTTCTCGTTTTCGCAGTGATCGAGTCCGTTGACTCGATCGCCGTCGACGGGGTCCCCGTCGTCCCCGGACAACGTGATCTGCGTGGACGAATAGTGGACACCGGCGTCCAGCCAGTCTTGCCGATGAATGTTGTCGTTCTCGTTCTCGATCGCGTTCTGGTTGTCCTCGTCGTCGTTCGATGCGGCTTTACGCTCTGGTTCGTCCATAACGACCACCGTGGCACGGTCAACGCTCGAAACGAACTTGCCGTTTTCATTCACGCTCGATTCCTCCGCGGTCCTCTTCTCCCGGTTTTTCGACAAGCACGATCTCTGAGCGGGCGTCGGTCGACCCTCGATCCTCCTCCCTTTCTCCACACCCTTATCCACGGAATGCAATCTCGACAGTTTCGAGTCCACTATTGGCGCCAGATCGCCGAACGACACGTTCAACCTGGGGTGAACCACAGGTTTCGCCGTCGACTCGTCGTCTTTGCCATTCTCGTCGTTGCACGGCGCGGCGAGAGATCGATGACCCGAATTGACGTTCTGTTCTTTGGATTCCCGAGCGTTTCCTGATACCTCGAGCTTCCGGGAACCCCCGTCATCCGCGGGATTCTCGAGACTACGCGGTGTCTGACCGTGGGCCACGCTCTCCTGCGCCGACGAGGAACATTTCTCGCTCGATTCCGCGGAATTTTCCCGTTGTTCCTGGTCGACGCCGCGTTGGTGCCGCCTTTCCCGCGGATTTCCACGACGATCGTCCTCGTCTTCGTTCCTTTCACTCGCGTTTCGAGCGGCTCTGCGATCCCTGTCGACGACCCGAGCATGCTCGACGGTTTCGTTGCCGGTCTCTTTGCCCGACGAGGGCTCTTTGATCGACTCGTAGACGACCGTACGACCGCCGGGGACCGGCGGTGGCACCTGTTGCTGATTCGGCGGTTCCTGATCGGACCTCCAAGGTTTGGTGTTGGGCGGCGGTGGTGCCTGCCTGGTCGGACAGGGCGGCCTTGGGGATCTTTTAAGGGCCTCAGCGACCACCTGCCTGCTCGGTCGCGGTGGCACAGGCGGTGGGTGAGGCCTCTGCGTCGCTGCCAACTGCATTTTTATCTCGAGCGACAGTCCTCTCACGCGTACTCGTCCCGCGGCACGGACATGGCTGGCTTTTCTCTTTTTCCTTTATCTGAAACGCGATTCGTATCGGGGTCATACGCGATAACAGGGATCGATAGTCATCTTTCCGTTCTCGTTCCAACCCGCGGCGAACATTTCGCGCCTCTTCCCTGCCCTCGCCGACTACTATTTCAGTGGCGGACGAATCATCGGTTGAGTCAGAGCCTAAAACGAAGCGTTTTTGCGCGCACTCGACGCTGCTGCAACGCGATCGGCTGTTCCGCGTTACGCGATCTGCCAGACCTTTAGTCAGCAACGAGCGACGATAGGCGTATCCCTCGCGGTTCCTTTCAACGACACCGACGTGGATTCACAAAAAATTACCACTGGACCGTGTCACGACGGACACTCGGAGTTTTTCCAGGTTTTTCGGACGCTCGACGAACGAGAATAACGCGCACAGAATGTTGTCGCTACGCCAGGCACGTTAGGATCGACGAGGACCTCGTTGAAACTCGTAGCCGCGGTATCCTCGATCCGTTGCCTTCTATCCTCTATCCTCGTTTCCCTTTCCACTTGGCCAGGGTCCCACTGGTCGACCGCGGTTAGCGTGTCCTCCTAGTTTCTCTCTCTGTTGCCCGCTGAACGGACCGCCGCGAACTGACTTCGCGATCCCACAAACATCCTTCGCGTTCGAGGGACCACGTGACTGGCTCGAGCTCGAGTTCTCGGGGCATCAGGTAGGCAGCAGACGTGGTAACGTCGAGCCTTTGTGCCTACCTCCGCGACCACTGTACGTGTGCACGATCCCGTGCGATTGTGTGAGGGAGCGAGAGGACGCCGAGTAGGTGGGACGGGGACGGACGAGATAGAGTGGTATGGATAACGGAGAGAGGCCAACCTAACGATACAGAGAGAGACGGGGATACAGAACGAAACGACGAAACGCGTTGCTCGAGTGGAAGAGAGAAAACTGGCGTACACCTATTCCGGAGGGAAGATGATTGTGCGTAGCGAGGCGGGCTGAACGGAGATGGACAAATTTTATCCTCGATAATGAATAATGGATACGCGCCAAGGCTTGTTACGTTAACTTAAAATTCGAAATTTCTACGACTTAACGATCTAACATTTTAACATTTTTACAGCGTTGAATGTGAATATACAAAAGGTACGAATTTGACGGATATTAAAACGAGTGGGTCGGAGGCGGACGAGATAGAGCGGTGTGGATAACGGGAGAGGCGAACGATACGAGCGAGATAGAGCCCGAGTGAACGAACGAGGAAACGCAGGGTGAAGCGGAAAAAAGAAAACTAGCACCTTTCCGGGGGGAAGACGATCGTTGCTAACAAATATTTGAAGCTTACAAACGATACAAGACATCCCGCGTGAATATCCCTTTTCAGGCACTTTCTACAAACCGAGGAAAAACGAAAGTTTTCCATCGGCCACGCGCCGCGACGTTCGAACTAGAAAAGAATTTTTCCATCGAGGTGGCATTTTTTTAAATGGCGCTACCTGTTTGTGACCTCACCGTGTCGTGGCTGACGTCAAGACCAGTTAAACGACCTTGAAACGACCTTGAATTTAGAAACGTGGAATCAACGAACGGAGACGTTTCCGTGGAAAATTACTTTGTTTGGATTCAAGCTCCCCCAGGCATGTTTTCTGACTGAAACAAAAAGTATCGAACAGCAATTAAATTTGAGATCGCGGTAGATTTCCTCGTGTCCAATCTAATAGAATAAAATACGAGTTCGAAAGATTGTTGACAATTTTGTGGGATTGGAGAAGGTTTAACAGAATTTCTAACGACACTCGTAGCGAACCGAACCTTTCGTCGCACATCCAATTCGATTCGAACACACCTCGAGCGTATCAGGCCTGTCGCTAATCGCGAGCGAGTAGGGAGACTAACGTGTGTGAGCGCGTGTGTGGGGTAGAAAGAGACAGGAGGTAAAAGTGGGGAGAGAAAAAGAGTATAAAAAGCAGGACGAGAGTGATCGAAGTGGTGTGCGTACGCGATTACGTGCGCGGTGCGAGAGAGAGGGAGGACGAGGCGCGTATATAGCGAGTGAATGAGAATAATGATGCAAGCGAGAGAGGATGAGTAAGCTGTAGAGAGTGGAACGGACCGATGGAAATGTTAACTCGACGGAAAGGGGAAAGAAGGACTTACCGTGAATAGCGTGGAGCGATGTATGGTACTTTGGTGCTTATGGTACTTTACGATTCGTGACACTCGCTGGAAGAGGAATGAAAATACACGTTCCGACGTTTCTTCACCGATGGTCAAAGGTCGAAGGAAATTCGCAGGAACAAATCTGCGGATATTGCGAGTATATGGGCAAAAATAAATCTGGATAGGATAGGGATACAAAATCTGGACTTACGTGGTTTCCAATGGTCTAAAAACAAATTCTCGACCTTGCAGGGAAGATCAGTCGATGCGTTTACGAATACGACGATGAGGCTGATGTCGAAACGTACGAATCTATCATTATCAATGGTGTCATGCTGAAAATATTCGAAGGAGTTGTTACACGAAAACACAGTCTTTTGATACAGGATACGTACCTAAATATACTGCAACAAATCTTGCAATATAGTGTAATTATATTCGCTGCACTTGAGTCAAATATACAGGTTGACATTGTTTTTTATCGATTTCAACGAGGCTTTCGTCAAGGTGGACCGCTCAATTTTAATTCAAGAACTTGCCACCGTGGGTTGCATTGGGAATATGTTTTGTTGATCAATAAAGCTGCGGAGTATTCGAATCCAATTAGTATCGCTTCTGACGTGCAGGAGAATCTCGTTTAAAAGGAGAGATTACAGTTCTGACTCGCGAGGTGATTGAACTATTGTCTGGTTTTGTTGACGGTCCCGAATAATCGTACTTTTTCGTCGCGATACCGTACGTGTGCAGCGCTGTATATCGTGGCCGGGATCGTCGCGATATCGCGTGAGAGAGTAACCCATGGAGGGACTAAGACACGGAAGAAAAAGGAGAAAGAACTTGTCGGTAGAAACGAGAAGGAGAAAAAGGGAAGGGACCCATTAGGTCTCCTTGCTTCGTTCACCGCGAACTGCCTCGCGAAGGTCCGTTCTCTGCTCGAACCCGCGCACCACCACCTAGAACCCCACTTGACCCGCATTATTTTCTTTAACACACATAATATTCACCAGGAGGGCTCGATTATACAATATCCGTGGATTTTCTGTTGGATCATTTCAATCAAAAACAAAAAAAAACGTGCAACTTTGTCGCAGAACCTCTAAAATATATAACAATAAAAGAATTTTTCAACAACGCTGTTTGCCTGCTTTTCATTTACCAGCCCCGACTATCTGTCTCCTCTTAAATTCTAATTCAGTACTTTTAATATGTAGTTCCCAAGAACCGACAATTATAATTACAGCTTTTCCTCCGCAGGGCTAGCAATTAAGAATTTAATACTAATTTTTCAAATATGCTCGGAATTGCTCCAACCTACCCCGCCGTAATTGCGTTCATTGTCTACCATAACGTTTCCCTAACTGTGTTCCATGCGATGTGAACGAGTATTCTATGAAAACTTATAATTATTCTGTTTTTTTTTTTTTTGTAACTTTCCTAAATCTTTACTAAGGAAACGTGTTTGGTTCCTTCAGTACCGAATTATAATGTATCGCGTTTCGTGTATAAATGTTTTACAATTGTTACATCTACTCATGCGGATCACCTTTGCTGCAATTACATACTCTTTTCTCTTTTTTTCAGTAAGAGTTTACTCGCGGCGCTTAAAGCGATATCATAACATGGATACGTATAAATTATCACGGTTCACCGATGGAACACGATTATCCGCGTACATTTGAATTTCGTTCACACTCTATTTCCCGACGTAGACAAGAGCTACTCGTTCTACTTTCACCCTAATTCTTCCGTACGAAGCGCGGATTAACATCTTTGCATTGTGGTATGCCGAGGGGAACGAATTCCTAATTTCCTTGTCGCTAATGTATACGTGTTATGAAAAAAATCTCCTTCCGCTTTGGTACCAAACGATATTTCGCGTGTACAGCGCGATTCTCGAATATGAATCAACCTGTAACTTTTACAGATGCAATTATTTTTGGAGCACTCTTGATCCGAATCGATCCTTCTCATCATTCAACCATCGAAAACATAACTAACTGACAAACTAACTAATTAACTAACTAACTAACTAACTAACTAACTAACAAACAAACATTTCGCAAGATTAACATATTACAATAAAATAATCGAATACCTAGAAATAGACTATTTTTTAAGAACTCAATCTTTACGTTGAAATTGCATTCGTCGTACTAGATCACGTAACACTATCGCGATGATGTTATATCGAGTGTTAGATAAACAATGGAATCTGTAAACAGATTTCATTTAGTTTATAATAGAATTGCGTCTGGAGTACTCTCGTTTTCCAGATTTTGCTAATTAACTTGTGTTAGATCGAATCGGATTAAAATATATTACAAGTTTTACTAATAATGGGAAAGTTGATATGTTCTGGGTAGAATACTATGGAGATGTATCGTACCGAATATCTTGATCAGGTACAATCATTACAAACATTCATGCTCAACCTCTGTTGGGACTTATTTTAAAGGTAAACTGACTTTTTACCTCTTATTCGTTTCATTATATCATCAAAACATTTGACAATTACAAACATTCATGCTTAATACTAGAACTACCAAAGCAGTCAAAAGGACCCCATTGAGTAATTTCTAATAAGACTTGTAAAAAATTTATTCGACTGAATTTTTGAAAGTTTACTGTAATTTTCTATGAGAGACTGTATATACATTTATTTCCATTGCATTATATATTTTTTTATGTGTCTATCATCTTAATTGGTACAAATACATTCACTATAATTGTCGGTAGTTCTAGTGTTAACCTCTGTTGGGACTTATTCCAAAGGTAAACTGACTTTTTACCTCTTATTCGTTTCATTATATCATCAAAATATTTGAAAATATTTTTCTGATAGGGACAGTAGCGTTTTTATAAAATTTAATTCGCTGTATTTCGTACCGACATCGTGGCCATCGCGTATGCCAGACGTTAGGGGAACCGTTTCGTTCCGCTGCGTAGCGGACGGAATTCGATTGCGTTAAATAACATCTTCCACGGTGTAGGAAGCTTATTCGTCGAAAACGCCGGGAAGTGTGAATCGTACGGCGTCGAAGAACGCATTCTCCGACGGGTTTCGTTCACGGTATCGTGCCTCGCGTGATTAGCAAAACTTGTCCGAGGAAAACTGTTACGTAAGCTTCGCGATGAGAGAATCACGTTGCCGCGTCAAGTCGCATCGTTCGCGTCCGCGATCCGCTACAAATTGCCAGCAATCGCACGTCTCGATACAGTTTCGTCGCGCCTTGCAATTTCACCGTGCCGTTCTTCGGTACACTCGCGCGCACCTGTGCATCTGCATAGTGGCCTAGTTGCATGGGATCAGTGCATTTATGGAGATTCAACGAGATTGCTCGACGACTCTAGAAAGCCGATAATTCTATTTTTCGTTCCTCGCACCTATCCCGTACGTACCGCCACCGGGGGTTTTCAGGTCTCTAAAAGTAACAGGAAACACATCGTATTGCAAATTAATCTACGACACGCGTGAAAATCGATCGTAAACTTTCGTCTTCTTACCGAGGAAAGATCGACAGCCAGTGTCGTTCGAAACGTGTTTCGTAAACGACACCGAAATCGTACGAGTGATTCAGGGATATACCGGTAAACAGTTGGGAAGAATGGGATGCGCGCAAAGCACACCGATACATTCGTCCTTTTGTTATTTCTCCGGTTGGAACAGCTTAACCTAGTAAGAGGGTGGAAAAAAGCAGCGTGGACAGAGAGTACGCGACCTTGCACATCGCCGGTGCAAACAATGAGAGAACCGACCGAAACTCCCACCGAAACGACGAAAGCTACATAGATCCGAGCGAATTACAATCGCTGCACGCAGCGTAGAATGCAAGCGTACCTTGATTATTCGTTGCGTGCTGACACCTGCGGGACCATCGAGAAACCAGCTACTCCTTGAACTTCCATTCCTGACGACACATCGGACATTGATGACTGGTTTGTTGGGAGTGCAGCCACTTCATGATGCAGTGTATATGGAAGCAATGCGAACATTGACCCCAAACTGGAACAGCATCGAATCGTCGATTTTACGAGAGAATCGGTCCGATCGTTTCGGTTAGCTGACGCGCACGCACACCGTGCGATTTGTTTAACGACTGGCAACCGGCGTTTGCGAGCGTTTACATTGACACGCGCGAGTACGCGCGCGTGAGAACACGGTTGTGTCGTGTGCGAGGGATCCGTTTCGTTCAGGACAACGATCGATATTTACTCCCGCAACTGCGCAGACTTTACCGCGGCATTTTATGAATGATCCCACTGATTTTACCCGGCATACAGTAGGCCAAACGACCATTAAGTAAATTACAAATAAATATAAGTACCCCACGAATCATAAAATTCGTCTTGTTTTAATCAGAGAAATGTAACGAATGTGTTGAAAAAATCTGTATGTAAAAGGAATTAAAAATAAAGAAAAACTTTGCTATCGCATAAATACTGTCTCATGTACATTCAATGTCGTATCACATTACACTACTCCGGATACATGACCAGGCACGGTCCTTATCATTATACCACTGTATATCGAATACTCTGATAAACTGTCGGCAATGCACTCACTAGTTTACTCATTCGTCCATTTTATATGAATAAAATGGCGCACTATAATGAATCTCGTACTTCGAATCGAAAATACGAAGCATACGTAACTGACGCCGACTTTTTATAGAATTTGATTGTTTTCTTTGTTCGAAGGCAAAAAAGAAGAGTTAATAGATGCATGTCAACGTTTGAAACATGCATACATTCAATAATAAACGATACCGCGATATCGCGGGGTTGGCGGTTAAGCGATAGGTTGCAAATTCCATAGTAATACGGGGCAGGCGTACAATGTGTTAAGAATCGGATAAAATAACTTAGAAAATATCGATAGAACGAGTAAGACAGGCTTTAAAATGTTACGTACCCAATGGACAATCGTCTCCAGGAATTTTGCAATCCGGACAACTAGCATCAAAAGGCATTCTGCATATACCACAATTGTCGTCGTTCGCAATCCAACGCCAGGTAGCGACACCGGTCCAACCTATACAAAATTTTATGTACGTTACTCAACTTATAAATATAGCAAATTCATATTTTAAACGTACGCATTGAAATGTAAAAAACGTATAACGTCTAAAACTCGTTTCGCCTTCCAATGCATCGTATAATAAACGTAGACAACGTACGAAGTAACCGAATGTTGCAAATTTGTATCTCCTACTAACCTTTTATCGTAACTTTCATTTTGTACTCGTTACAGCGAAGCAGAGTATAACGCACAATGTTGGATATGTTCACGTTTCGAGAGATTTACACTAATTCTTTAGAAATTGTAGAAAAATGAATGTTTTCGAGTTGAAAAAAAGGACAACGCGAGATCGAAACGTCTAACCGAATATGATTCGCAACTGCAATCGTTGCGCCATCTTACAGCCTTAACTTGAACCATGGCCTAGTGACGAAATTTGGAACGTTACGAATCGATTTGAATCTATTTTGAAAAAAACGTGGAAAAATACCACACCATGAAAAACTAGAGATAGATAGGCATAATATGTTTTCTACTGTCTTTTTCCATACGAATGACTTACTATTAGACACGAGGCATCGAACTGTGATGTGTTGCGACCAAGAAAATGGCGGGAACTGATTTTAGGACTTCTAGTGAGAGAAATACCCTGTACAAGAACGAATAACTGCAATCTTTCAGCTTTTCTTGAATACTGTATGTCATACAGTTAATAATAACAAAAAACTATACACTTATTTTATTTAGAAGAGTTCCTCTATAGGAATAATCAGATCCATGCTTTTGAGAGAAGCTTCTAGAACATAAAACGCATGTATTGAGAACTGTTGCACCATATTACGTCAGAATGGTCGTTCGCAGAGAAACCCGCCTTGTCGCTTTGTCGTATAGAACGTACGAACGCAAAACTCAATGGAAACGGTCCTAGTGGCGGCGCGCCGCTGGCTGATACGCGGTTGTGGTTCGTTTTGTGGTGCGGAAATGTGAGAGTTTCGCGTCGAGAACGAGAAAATCGACACCGACTAGCGTGCGTCGTTAGTCAACGAGGAGGAAACCGAACGGATCACACGAATTCGCCAAAGGTTTCTGTCAAGATAAACACGAAATAGGATGACACTCGTGGTTTGAACGAAGATCTCGATCTCGTGCGTGCAGTCTGCCAGTTGCGACATGGCGGGTTTTCGAGACGAGGACAAGGCTCTGTTTCCTATACAGAGCATCTCCTCCATCGTGCAGATTTTCCAGAACCAGCTGGAAAACAGCTCGGAGCCGGATCTGGCTTTGCTCTCGATTCTCGTCGGCGCGGTCGAGAATTCCCTAACCTGCAATCGAACTTTTGCGTCGCAGGAAGCCACTGTTTACGACGAGCTGAAATTGCCGGCGGTCGAGTTTCACATCGCGGAGGCACTTTACACCAAGTTCCACGCCGTGATCAAGGGAGCGGTCGATCTCACGGTTTACGACACCAAATACGCGACCAGAGAACTCGTAAAAAAGGTCTCGGACGTGATATGGAATTCTCTCACTAGAAGCTACTATAAAGATCGCGCGCATTTGCAAAGCCTCTATAGCTACCTCACAGCGAATAAACTGGATTGTTTCGGGGTGGCGTTTGCCGTGGTTGCCGGTTGTCAGGTGTTGGGATTTAAGGATGTGCATCTTGCTATGTCTGAGGACCATGCCTGGGTGGTATATGGAGAGGATGGAACAGAAACAGCAGAGGTTACATGGCATGGTATGTAATTCCCTTGGTACACAGCAAGTAAAACAATAATTTCAGACCCATTTATATGCAAATAATATTTTTACCCTTGTAAATTGATGGAACAAATAAGAAAATGAAACTGTTTTATTAGGAAAGGGAAATGAAGATAAACGTGGACAACCGGTCGAGCCTGGTGTGGCTTCAAGATCCTGGTTGTACGTGAATGGACAGGCAGTTGTATGCTCCAGGGCTATGGAAGTTGCTACCATAGTATCGGCTATTAATCCTAGTTTAAGCGCGACTGCTGATGCAGCAGAAGTGGCTCTGCTCCAGCAGGAACTATTATGGTTGTTATACGATTTGGGTCATCTGGCAAAGTATCCTATGGCTCTGGGTAATCTGGGAGATCTCGAGGAGGCTGCGCCTACTCCAGGTAGACCTCCAGCCATTGACCTGTTTCAGGTACGTATGCAAACGTTTACCATTGTAGCGTCGTGCAGTTGCACGTATCGGCATTTTGTCACGCGATTTCGTCTTTTCAGGAAGCCATACGAACAGCGAGAAAGTATTACGGGAATGCCCATGTATATCCTTATACCTATCAAGGCGGTTATTTGTACAGACACGGACTGCACGCGAACGCGTTGTCGTCGTGGGCAGACGCGGCAGACGTTTTAAGAAAGTAAGTAGACCGACGGGAAACGAAACAGCCTGTTATCGTTATTCTTCTATTTATTCCGTTACTAACGCACTACAGGTACGACTATTCGAGGGACGACGGAGAAATATATAAGGAACTGTTGGAAATAGCAAACGAGTTGATACCGCACACAGTGCGAGCGGACGAGCGTCTGTTACGACAACCGCGATGTTTCGCGTACCTGTTGAGGTTCTACGACGGAATATGCCAGTGGGAAGAGGGCGCGAATACACCGGTACTGCACATAGGATGGGCTCGACCTTTGGTGAACACAATCTCGAAGTTCGACGCCGGTATTCGCGCTCAGGTCATTATAGAGTGTTACGACGTGGAGGCGAAACAGGAGGAGGAGAGGGCGCAGAAGAGGGAGACCAGCCCGGAAGAAACATTGAACAACAACAACAACAATTATTGTAAGACGAAGGAGAGGGGCAACACGGCACGCGATTTGATCAAAAGCTTAGAGTCGAAAGTACCTTCTAATCCAGCCCCGATGCATCCTAGTATTCAAGCCTTGACCGCGGCGTGCAGCGAGAAAATACTTAACAGAGATTACCTCTTGCAAGGCGGCGGAGAACCGTTCGTCGCTCCGCCGGACGACGCTCTGCCGCCTGCACCTTCCACATCTCAGGAGAACCTTGATCCCGAGGTAGAGACTGATTCCGAGAACGAGAGGCCAAGGATAACGTTGTACAGTCAGAAGATGAAGGGTCTGAAGGACCTGTTGCTGGCCGAGAAGCTGAACACGCACGCGATCTCGTTGCAGCTGACCGCGCAGAGTCAGGTACAAATCGGTAAGAAGTCGCGCGGCAGCGACGACGTTGGAGTCAGTCAGCGTCCAAAGAGGACGCGTCGGGAATAGTATAAGATCATCGACCGCCGTTTCGGTATCGTGAAGTATTGAAACAGTGCCACTAGATTTATTTCTATCGGTGGCGCGCGTACGCGAACGTATGGAAATGGTTTCCATATATCGTTAGAATCTCAGTCTTCGCTCACGGTTTCTTTCTGTTCGAGTGAATTCCCCGATCCAAGCTTCTACGCGGCAACGATCGCGGGGAAGCTGGGGCGATGGTGATGAATTTTGTGCCGTTTCGTTTTTGAACCCCCCGCGCCCCGCGCGTATCGTTCTTCGCGACGATTCGATCGATCGATCGTTACGCGAGTCATCGCGAAACACGTTCGCGCGGAAACCGCGGGACGCGTCGTCGTTTAGATACAGGAACGGGCAAAATGTATTTAAAAGAAAAATATTCGAACGACGAATACCTCGTCCACTTGTATTCTGTTCCGTAGTCAAAATGCTTGAAGGTATTCGTGAATTTTATTCGGTAGCCGATGCACGGAACACTTTTATTCGACCTCGTCGTCGGACACAGAATACGCAGGGTATTTTATAAAAATATTTTATTCGGTATTAATATCCGGTATATTTTAAACGAGACAAGTGCGCGTAGAGGCGTACGATGACGTTTGCTCTTTAAATTTTGTATATATTTACAAATTTAATTTATTTATTTATTTCGGACGAAATTTATAAATTTATAAACTCCGTCGGTTTTACATTCGTTTATAAATTTACTAATTTCATTTATTTATTTCATTATTAGTTTTTGAATGCGAAAATTATCAACGTAAATCTATTTTCTTTAATTGTAAGTAGTTCGTAAATATTTATAAAAGATGATGAATTTATCTGAAATTTATAAAATAATGATAATAATGCGTACATTTACAAATCGTTCATAAATAATTTAATTTGTAAATATCTTAAAAATTACTAGAGATTATACGTTTCTATATAATTTCTATAGTATCTAAGTTTCTAAAAAGAGTATCTAAAAGATGTATTTTATTTTGAATTTATTTATTCGTTTACGAAGAAACACTCGAGAGCAAACAGTATGCTAATAATATACGGACACGACCTGAAATATCATATGTGAATTCCTTACTGATCAGATACCGAATACGTCGAGTGGAATTCACACGAGTATTTGATACTCGACAACGGGAACGAATGGAAAATGCAAACGTTGTTGTTTGATCACCACAGAATACAATGCGTCAGGTTGTTCGTCACTCCGAGTACTGGAATGAATGCATTCAGTATTTTCGATGTATTTCATTTGTAAAATCATTCGAACGTGCCCGTCCCTGTTTAGATATAGGTAAAATAGATACGAACAAGTTTGTAGAAAAGTACAAAAAAGTTTTCTCGGTTTTAAGTTAAACGTCGAAATCGTGAGTGCTTGCGTTTACGTATTTTTCACGACGAAGATACATTTGCGTGTAAATGTCATCTTTCTTCCACAGTGTGTAGAGCTGTGAATTATTGGGTTGGGGGGGGAGGGATGGGTTGGGGGTTAATGAAAGAGAAGAGACGGCGATGAATCGAACAATGTACCTAATCTATAATCTTCACGGGGGAGAGAGAGAGAGAGAAAGAGGGGAAAGGAGAGAGCAGGTTTTTTTCAGCACAGTTATTTATTCTGCGAGTAACGACGATTATCGACGAATCGATCACTATCGATCGCGTCCATTATCCTATTTCTAATCTCTTGTTGCACTCTTATTTATTGACCCACGTGTTTTTTATCGAGCTGTCGCACTACGAATAATTACGATTGACAATGTTGTCGTTAATGTTTTTTACACGGTAGTTGAAACTTTTTGTTAGAATTACGCTTTTTACGATCTAGTAAGGGGAGACCACACATTCCACTCCGTATGTGGTGCAAACTAATTAAGTTTTTACCTAAGGTATTTTAAGCATAAAATGCTCGCTTATTTTTATAAACTATTTATTTTCAGAGTAATTGTAAGTAATCTATTTCTAGGACTCATTCTTTCGCTACTTTATAGATAGATCATCGGAAACGAACCGTAGGACAGTCCGCCGAAATGGTAGTACACCCCCTCCCACGCAGTCTTTGACAAATTTTTCGTCTATCGTGTGTCACAGTATGGAAACGGGAATGCGTTTAGAGCTGGCTAAAAAATTCGGTCGCGGGATAATGGAATATCACATAAACGAAGTTGTAACCGCTTGCGTGCCCAAGTTCCTCGATGATTTTTTTTGCTGCGCGGGCGTCGTGTAACGAAGTACGTACAAAATAAAATAGTTTCTTCCCTTTTACGTGTGTTACGTATCGCGGGGTTGCGTTACTCGTTCGAATCCAAGCCAGAGGACTGTCGCTGATCCTTTTATACAGGGTGTTCGGCCACCTCTAGCAAAAATTTTAATGAGCGATAGTAGAGACCAAAATAAGACAAAAATCAAGAATACCAATTTGTTGATGGAAGCTTCGTTAAAAAGTTATTAACGTTTAAAGTGCCGCCCTTACTGAATATTTTTCTCGAAAATGCGCAAGATTTCGGGGGTATGTCTATTCACCAAAAATGACTGTAATTGAACCCTACAACCGAAAATAATTTTTCCACAACGATTTGCAATTTTTTAATTTTCTCGAATAATTTCACACCTTCTCTATTTTTTTTCTCGAAAGTGAGCAGGATTTCGTGGGTATGTCTAATGACAAAAACTGATTGTAATTGACCCCCGCAACCGAAAATAATTTTTCCACAACGATTTGCAATTTTTTTTCTCCGTTGAAAAATTTAGGCACCTAATTGGGTTTTCAGTAAGGAATTTTTTTCTCGAAAGTGCGTACGATTTCGGAGGTATGTGTAATGATAAAAAATGATTGTAATTGATCCCCGCAACCGGAAATAATTTTTTTAGAACGATTTGAAAAATTTTTTTTCGCCGAAAAATTTCAGCACCTACTCGATTTTTTTTCTCGAAAATAGATAGGATTTCGGAGGTATGTGTACTCACCAAAAATGATTGTAGTTGACCCCCGCAACCGAAAATAATTTTTCCAGAACGATTTGAAATTTTTGAATTTAATTGTTAATAACTATTTAACGAAGCTTCCATCAACAAATTAGTATTCTTGATTTTCGTCTTATTTTGGCCTCTACTATCGCTCATTAAAATTTTTGCTAGAGGTGGCCGAACACCCTGTATATACACGTATCCGTTCGCAGAAGCTTCTCGCGCGTTCGTTTACGACTTGTCTTTTAATCTATTATTTTTTTTTCTTTTTCTTTTTTAAATTATTTCACCCGGTGACAGTATTTCACGAAATTTGTCGATACGACGCGAGTTTTGATCGGGCGCTGTACCTTCTTTCGTGCCGTTTTGTTTCTCAAAAGGGGTCCGCCTGGTTTTAATTACTCCCGCGTACACTCGCGAACAAGATATACCAATCATGTACGTAAATAGCGGCATCCAACGTCGATGCCGCAGAGAAAATTATCCGACAATGTTTAGACGGGTTTGTTGTATAGAGTATGTTGTTGACAGGAATGAATATTAAGAAAAAAAAAAGAAAAAATAATGGTCCGAGCTGATCGACGATCACTTGATAATGAAGGGCGCTATCTTACTGTGATGCTGAATATATACTATATATAAATATATATATATATAATTATACAATTAATAATCGTAGCGATTAACGAACACGGCACGGCGTTGTTTCGCGCCGGTGCCCGATTATAATTAATTAAACGACTATAGAAATAAAAGAAAACAATAAAAAAAAAAAGAGAGACGGGAAGAAACGGGAGAACAATGAGCATATGGGAAATCGGAGGAAAAAGGGAAACGTGTGACGAAAAAGAGAACAAAAAAAATAATAATTATAATAATAATAATAATGGAAATAGTCCGTCAGTCCGTGGTCGTTCGCATATCATGACCGGGTATTCTATTCGAGATTTTTCCGCAGAAAATGTCGCGTCTTGCTCTGTTGGATGATATGTGGGCACGTTACGGAGTCCGCGGATGATCGAACGGAATCGCGAGAGAGGAGAGGAGAGAAAAAAGAAAAAAAAGATGAAAAGGAGGGTAACGTGCGCGCGTTACGAGTATACGTAGTCCTCGCACGCTCGTACAGGTACGAGGAGAGCTGACTTTTAACCGTACCCGGGAAATATATTTTCCAAACAGGAACGCAATTTCGTGACTTCTTTATCTTTTTCATTTTATCCTCAATTATTGTAAAATGTTTCTGTGTGTGTTTCCTAATGAATGGGAAAAGAAATACAAACGAGGACCTGTTAGGGGTTGAAAATTATATCGTAATCTCAACGAAGTCTCCAATTAAAAATCGTTTGTAAAATTGGAAAACTACAGTCGCTGTTAGCAGCGTCGAACTCTGTCACTTTCAGCCCCCCGGACTCCTTCACTTTTATCATAATTTTTTCTTTTCGTTTTCACACGCCGTATTCAGTATTTTCTTTCATTCTTTCCTTAACAGCTAAAGATAAAGGAGCGTTTTAAAGACTACAGGGATTATTATGCATAATAATAGGAATAGTAGGAAAAGAAATGGTGCAACAGAACAGTATTTTTGTATTAGCTATGGGGCGCAGAGGTGTGTACTCTCCGGTATTAATTATTATTCGTAATAATCGAGCGTTTAGGGATCAAAAAGTTTGCGGCACCCGTTTCGGCGCCACGACTGCGATCATCGTGCGTGCTCGGATGCAAAGAAACGAAACGGAGACCAGAATCGTCCACGAAACGTTGGTTTCGTGAACTCTTGGTTGTCCATACGCGATCCAACGCGATTGACGAGAGAATTCGGGAAAGCTGTGCAGAAACGCAGGAAGAGAATCGATATTAATTGGGGAATGGTCGAACAAGTGTTCGATGCAGGGATTGGCAAAATACATGTATCTTGATAAGCCATGCAGTTCTTTCTTTCACTGTGCCACACATTCTCACAAAGTTAAATTATTTACTCTGAGGGGCCACTCAGCCATCCAATATGGCCGACTGAATTCCCAAAACATTGATAAATTATACAAAAATCTTTCTGAAAACAGTAACCTTAAAGGTTTTTAAGGCCGCTGATGATCGATACTACGACAGTATAACATAGTATTGTTCGATATAATGCGCCAGGTATACTGAACGACCTTCCAAAGGACCCGCCTAACGGTACTTTTTGCCAGCTGCCGCAGCATCTGTTTCTTTCGATTGCTATTCATTCAATTTCATCACATTAAAAATGTTACACGCTCGTAGGAAGCTTTCGAATTTACAGAATATTTTAAGGAATTTAAGCACAATGCAAACATTGCTTGCCTCCATTTTGGCACGTTACAGTTCAGCCCAGAGCCACAGTGACATAGTGAAAGAAATTGCTGTACGTTTATTATCAAATACACGTTTGCACAGTGTCTCTCAAACCGTGGATTCTCAAGTCCTTTCAGGAACTAAAGATTGCTGGAAATTCCTAGTTCATTGCAAGATCATTCTGCCATCCCCGATCGAAATCTGTGTTCGACGCTGAATGCGTATCAGAATGTTTCCATCGATCGTTTTGTGGTCCTCGTTCGACTTAGTTTTTCCGGTGGCGTCGTTCAGTTTCGATTCCCGTTTGGAACAAAGTAAATGGAACCGAAACCCTTGTACGCACGTTGCATTAACCTCCGTCTCTGTCCGGTTTTCCACGCGCCTCCCCATGAACGAACACGAACGAATATCGTTCTTCTGCTTCGTATTGGTAAAGCGGTTTGATGAACTTCTTCCCTGACTTTCGCTCCACGGACCTCGACACCCTCCCGAAGCCATAAGTTTCTCAGCGGCTCGTCAACGGTGCGCGCTAAACTCGATAAATAGTTGTGGAGTAGGGCTGGGATCACTTATCGAATTTCTCTGTATTTCGGACACTCGGACGCTTTGCGTGTACTCGAGCATTTTCTGCACCGATCGAGCGTCCGAGTGTTCGTGGTGTTTGTGGCATGACGTAGACTGTGAATCAAGTTCTTTAGGTATAGCATAGCCTCCATTGCTCGAACTAACAAATAAAATTGGAAAATTGTGAAATTAATTTTTCTATCATTGGTTAATTCAACAACGAGAGGGATCGAAGGGGATGCAATTTGATTAATCGATTTGTCGCGAAAGAATCATTCAAAGAGGGATGCTCGAACGTTCTCACAATGGAGGTTCCGCTGTAGATCGTACTTTTTTAAATTTAATTTTCATTGAACCCTCTGTGATCCGAGTTATTGTCAGCGTTTCATTGTAGCTAGTCCGCAAAAGTTGGGCAGTAATTGATTACTTCGTGATTACTTTTGTAATCGATTAATAAAAGTAATTATGATAGTAATGATCATTGGTCAATTATTCATCCCCCGAGATTAATTGGTAATCGTGAACTACACCCCGTAATCTGCGAGTCATCAATTTGTAACCAATCGATAAAGGATTCCTTTAGCTTTTTTTAGTTTGTTTTTTTTTTTATATTATTAACTAATCGAGTTCAATTTGTAATCAAGAGTAATCATTCAATGAAAGATTACTTTAACTTCTCCTAGCTTTTTTTTATTATTAACTTATCAATTTTTAATCGTAACGAGAGTCGTTCAATGAATGATTACTCCAGCTTCTATTTTTTATCATAATCTTATCGATTCAATGATAATCGTAAATGTAATCTATGAGATAATCATGTACGACGATTACATTCGCTTTGATTATTTGTGCTATTTACTAATCATGATGACTGATTACTCGGTAATTATAAGCATTAATTACCGGCTTTATTACAAGGTAATCATAAGCGTTAATTATTAAACAGATTACAGTTAGTTATATTCACCGATATCATATAGCTTACCAATGTTTGAATATTTTAGTATGTAACAACGCATTGATAGTAATATATTTACATTCGGAAAAGTATTAATATACAAAAGAATGTTTTATCGTTGTTCATAATTCTTTAAAAAATTATATTTTTCAAAAAACTTTCCAACATTCAGTCCAAGGTTTCTCTCGCATGTACATATAACAGACCTAGGCACTCTTCAAATAATGCCATTTGAAACACTATTTCAAATAGCATGCTATCCTACTTCACAGTTGTTTCATTTTCGAAATGCAATTACGCAGGGATCGAAAAAACCAGTAATTTTTATTTATTTATCAATTCTGATGGAACTAAACAAATATCTGTTGTAGTTTACGTTAAGAATCTCTAAAAATTTTAACAAAAGTTCAATTTCAACGGAGCCTTTCGATAAAGTTGCATAATTCCTTCGATCCCTGCAATTACATTACTTTATTTCACAAGATAACCTTGAAAATAATAATTGTATATTTGAAATAATGAAATACTCTTGGAAATAATCGACGTGTTACAAGATCTATCAATAGGTGAAATTTACAAATTTTCAGTCGTCGTTATAATGTTAAAATAACGACGATTCGAATAAGAAAAAGAAATTAGAATAACAAATATATACTTTACCGATGTTTTGTATGTTCATCGTTCGTCATACGTATTTACAACATTAAATTACACAATGTGGTAATGATTTATGTAAATCACAAATATACAGGGTGGCCCGACAGGTACACAAAACTTTGCTAAGCATACTCTGCGACTAAAAACTATAACGAAAATGTTATACGCATCGTTAAGAAAAAAAAAACTTTCTATTTGCAAACGACGAATAAATCTTTATATAGGCGAATAAATATTTATTCATTATGTAAACTATAACATTGTTATTTCAAAACCTATTTGAAATATCTGTTATTCCAAGTAATGGATCACTATTTGTAATACCTATTATTTCAAATAAATCGATATATCAATTATTTCCAAATAAAATTGCTGGAAATAAAACACTGAAATGTTATTACAAACACTTATTTCTCATTTTCATTTCAAACAAACCCAGGCCTGATACATGTTTTTTTTTTCTCGTATTTTCTTTTGATCATTGGAAGACCAGAAAAGGTATTAGAACCACGTTTATACTTATTCGAATGGTCCCAGCCCTATTCTGTAGGTTCCTCGAGTATAGCTTTTCCGCCGAAATTGCTCTGCATATTAACGAGATGTAATTTCATTATAAGCCTCTGTAAAGCGACCCCTTCGCTTTCCGTGCCATAATAACGTGGTCATTTTCTTTGCACTTCGCTGCTAATTTTCTCGTAGTACACGCTGTTTCTATTTTTTTCTTTTTTGTGGAACGTTTTGCCTTTCTCTCGAGATTTATTCAGCGTGTTTCACAGGAGCAAAGGAATGTCTTCGAAAAATATTCATTTGTCCAAGATCGATAAGCTTTTCGAAGTAATCGAGTAAGAGGTTTCTGAGATAAGTTTTCAAATTTTAAATTTACCTTGTAATTTAGAATCATATGTCTACGGTATACTTTTGTTATAACTATTTTGATCAAATTGATTTAAAAGTATTTTATGTAATACATTTTGTATTTTATAAGAATATTAGCTCGATCTAGATTTAAATTTAAGACAATGTTCTGAAAGTTCATGACCCCTTATCTTCCACAGGGCATACTTAATTCGGTAGCGTACCTGTCTCATGTACTTAAGAAGCGAACGAACCGTATAAATGGTCCCGGTGATACGTTATGGCAAACAATCTATTATAAATGCAAATTTCGAACGAAAGGTGAACCCTTTGTCCGTCGTTAGTCGACTGAAAATTAGGATTATAGAATGTTTCGCAATGAACGAATAAATAAATAAATTCAGTGTTCTATTATTCGAGTAAAAGTTTCGTCAGAGATGGGCATGAATTCTTATCTAGATAAAAATTTCAACGTTCATTACGCATTCTTTGTATCTCCTTTTAGTGCGTGTTGCGGGGACCGAGCAAAATATCGTTTTCCAACATTAGTTTGTTATTATCGGATTTACGTATTTTATTCACGACCCTATTTTACCTTTTGTCTGAGAGCTAACTTACCGAGAACGACGAGGGTCCAATTCCCAGCGAACCGCTTCTCCCACCATCGGGATCCGCACTAATCAGCTGTTCAGCGCGCCTACGTCCCAACACTACCGAGCAGGCGTAGTGGGGGGTAGTTGTACGCTTGCGTGGAACAGGAAAGGAGAGGAAGGGGACACGGCTGGATCGAGGGCCGCCAAGTTCAACACCCTCGAGGTTTACGTATTGTTACAAGCCTATTAATCGAATGAAACATTTATTAAATCGTAACTTGGCGAGATTTCGAAACGATATTTTGCTCGTGCTCGGTTGCCACGACGACAACTGTAACTTCGTGAACGAAACGAAGGATTCGCGGCCACGGAACACCGAGATGCAAGATCAATTGCGATTTGTAACGATCGTTGCACCTACTCGCGGTGTGTTAAGTATTGTGTGAGAGCGGTCCCAGGTTCTTTTCTCCGTTATGACGGGTATTCCGATATACATTACACATACGTACATATTATATATATATATATATATATTATATAGATAGATATATAAATACAGAATCTGTTACGCGATATTTAAGAAAATTAAAAAACAAAATGGCGAATTGTCGTAAATGAATTCTCCTGTACAATTACACGGTATATTACTCATGGGAATACTCTGTATTGTTCACCTCGACGTTCTGACATGATACACGAATGCGCGTTTCCGTTGGTCTCGAAACAGGAAAGAGGGTGTAATCGCAGCTATTGTTAAAATCGACAAACATAATAGTGAGTCATCAGGCGTCATGGAAATGTCTTGTTTTTTCTTTTCTGTGGATTACAATAAACTATTTTATTCTATCCCGTGGTACCGTACGATCATTTCAACACCCACCTTTCATCCAGAGCGTCCTCTCGTCGCGACTCAACGTCACCGACGAGAAATGAACGTCCACCCAACTCCCGTGTATGCATTTTTCAGTTCCTTTTATTTCTCAACTTACAGACTTTTCTCGACAAACGTTTTCGTAACTCGTAAAGTTCGGAACGCTTATTGCGAATAATAAACAGAAGCCTCGTGACGGACGATCGAGGCGTCGAACCGATCTAACAAACGCGGTCTCGTGCGCGGTGGAATGTACTTTTTTTTCTTTCTTTTTCATCATTTTTTCCGTCCTCTTAACGCGTACGAAAATGTTCCCCATCCGGTTCGACCGACAATACCCTGAACGATTATACAAAACACGTAATAAATTACAGAGATGAGTCGAAATTAATTCTTAGACAACTAGTAATATTTGGTCATATCGAAGTAAGACGTCGTTCGTAATCGCCGTTTTACGCGTCGTTAACAAAACAACGATTGCCTTCGAACGGGTAACGGCTGCACGTTCCGTCGAATCTACAGGTATCTCTCTCTGGATCGTTGGAAAATAATGTCTGAACAGAGCATAAAGGTGGTAACCTTACACTGGAACGCTTAACAACTATCGAAGAGTAAAATCTATGGTACAAAATGTCGGCAGAGCATCCCTACCGCCCGACATCGTAAACAGTACGTTGCGTGTACACCTTATTCCGGTTCGAATCGCGCGAATTGTCGTCGATTCGCGTCTTAATCTCTACGTGGACGACGTTCGTGGAAACGCGGAACTAATACTGCTCTTACGAGGCGACCGTGCCGGAACACGATCGAATAAAATACGTCGAACGAAAGATATCAACGATCGTAACCAGGGAACCAAAATAATTATGGAAACGATGCGTTCTAAAACTTTTTCGCGTTTAAACACCGTTCACCGAGTCACCAAAAATACTTCTATCGGCTAGCGGACATCGCGGTTCGTGACTTTAGTCTATAGCGTATTTGACGTGGAATATAAACAAATGAAAATCGTTATTCGAGCTCGATGATTAGAACGCAAAGACTGAGACTGACCATTTTCAAGTAATTACTACAGCTCGAAACCTAGCAATACCAAATTTAAAAAAATATGAAAAGTGCTCGATGTTTTCAGGGGCACCCTAATACTTTCGAATTAAAATCGCGGAAACGATTGCCACGAAATTGGTACGAAATTACTGATGATCTATCGTTTGAAAGAACCATTCGGTGAAGCGTCGAAGCTGTTGCGCGGCCGCGTGACTTTCGTCTTGCAGGCGTCGATTCTCGTCTCGCAAACGACGCACCTCGTCTTCTAGGGAAAGTCTTCGTCGTGTCTCTCTGGCCACCCTCAGTTCCAAGGAAGACAAGTGCGTCTGCAAGTCCGACACGGAATTCCTGAAACGAGAAAAACCTACTTTTCAACGCGTAAATTTCCTTTGAAATGCAAACTAGGCAAATTTGATTTAAGAAGATACTTCTATTTTTCAAAGTAGGCCTTTACAGATGTTTATAGTCGACAGCTTGGAAAATTAAAGATGTTGCAAGACTATCTCAATTGCGATCGAGAATGGATCGGTTTGGTTTCCTTAATGTTAACGTCAACATAAATGCAGACTTAAGTATACGATAAAGTATAGTCACAGTGTAAATAAGGCGATAGACAAAAGAATGACAGTAGATTTCCTGAATGAAATTATTTAATGGGGATACGAGGTCTCGATTTTATAGATCTTGTCGCTCGAAAACGAGAAACGTTTGAAACAACGTTATTTCAAAATTGCCCAGGTTTGTTGTTTCACCGATCGACGAACTTACGCGATGGTACTGCACCCGTCGATGAGCCTGTCGTCCGACCACTCCTGAGGATGTTGCTTCGATCTAGCGTCCACGTGATGGTGGTGGTTCTGCCAACAGTCTACGTCCGTGTTGTTATGATTTTTCGCGTCTTTGATCGAGGTCAAGTTGCTGGGCGCTTTGGAAATCGAATGCGGAGGTTTGGTGACGCGGGGCGACAATCTAAACACGCGAACGCACACGAAATTACACAAAACGTACACCACGGAGCTATAAAAAATGCCCCTGAGTGACGTTCACGACGCAACATCCGGTTTTCCCCTCAAAGAACGCGTACTCGCGATCAACAATGCTATTACTCGTTCAATCGAATACCTGTGACCAATAGTGAAATAACCTTTTTCAAAAATTCCGACCATTAAATCTCAATTCCATCCAGGGGCATTCTCCTCGGCTCTCCAGCAGAGCTGGGCAAAATTCTTTCGTGGGAATAGAATTTTGCCCATCTCTGATTTCCAGTACACAGGGTGAACCACCTAACTTGTCCATGTCTATCATTTTCGTTGCCAGTGGACAGATATATTATTTCTGCCATTTAATAGACGTAGAACTATTGGATATACAAAAGGGGGGAGGTGTTTTCCAAAAAAAAAACTGTGTTCGATGACCAACTACTCTTACACTTACCTTAATACTATTTTGTGAACTATAAAAGTGTATCATAAAAAAGTCGAAGGTGCTTTTAAAAACTTATGAAAGGAAACGGCACATACCCAAATACAAAAGTGGCAAAATCCTTCTGGTGCAATAACAAAAAACTAAAAACTTCGTTCCTCGACTAACGATACTCCTCCTTTAGGAAGTTTATTCAACTATCAATAAGCACGCTAGAAATTAAATATAATGAGAAAGTTGTGTTAAAATCGAGTACACAGAACATAGAAGAAACTATTAAACGAGCCACTTACTTGTGGATATATCCATAAATTGCATATCTACGCAACAAAGACACACGTTATGTTCGATACAAAGAAACATTTTAACTTTCGTTATAATACCTCCAAGTTTAAATATATTTTAAACGACTAAATAAAAAGGTGTCAGATCGGACCAACCAACAACGGAGACAATAAACATTAAACGAGTCAAGCGGGTACCAAAGCCTATCAATCTTTTAAGTTACCTTTCTTCCTTGGACATCTTGTTTTCGCTTGGGGCCGGACTGGACGCGGTGCTCGCGTTTGAGATCACCGTGGCCGGTCTGGCCATCGTCAGGATCACTTCCGATCCGTTTCCGTTTCCGTTCTCTTGCCCGTTCGTCGACAGAACCGTCAGCGTGCTGGCGCTGCTGCCGCACAGGTTCTCCCTGGACCTGCATCTGTTCTGTATCTCCAACAAATTGTTGTTGATCTTGTTGGAGTTCTGATTGCTGATCAACGCGTTCACGTTAACGTTGTTGTTCGTTATCTGGCCGTCGTCCGCTATGTAATCAGGATTTATCAGCTTCATCAGGTCCTCTTGCAGCGTGCTGGACGTCAAGTTCGCGGAGTTCCTGTGCGAGTTCCGTACGCCCGGCTTCGGCCTGGGGCTCTGGTTCCTCGAGCTGCCGCTGGAAGGAGTGAGATTTCCGCCTCGATGCTTATTGGCTCTTCTCAGCCTGGGCGACACGCTTCCGGAACCGTTCGACAGCTCGTCCTCGCTGGGCAGAGCGGTGGTCTCCGGGCAGTTCACGTCCGGGATCCGCACTTCCGGCGGCAGACTGGCGGCGAAATCTTTCGTCTGTCTGTACTCGACGTTTATCTTGTGAGGAACGGGCCTCTCCGTCATGGTGGTCTTCAAGCAAGTGACCTTCTCGCCGACCTTGAACTCGTGAGGTATCTCGTACCTGATCGACTCGCGATTTTGCTCTCCATCCGCGTGCTTCCGTTCGCCGTGCTGACACTCCAGCTCGTACTTCGCGATGTCCATGTCGTACTTGCTGTTCCTTCTCTCGTACAGCTCCTCCGTGTATTCGTATCCCATCGTTCTCTTCTCGTGCGCCCGTTCCTGCTCGTACTTGCCCTTCTCCTCCTCGTACTTCGAGTTTCTATCGGGCTTGCCGGCCTCGTACTCGTACTTCGGCTGCTCGTACTCGTTGTATCTGCCCAGGTTGTTGTTGCTGTTCGATTTCGGAAGACTGTAGGACGCGTTCTGCGCCAACGGAAGCGAATTAGACGCGGTGAGCTTCTGATGGCCGACGTGGTGCCCGTCGTTCTTGTGCAGCTCCCTCTGCGACGCGTACAAATTCTCCTGCTTGATCTCGTATTTCTCTTTCTGGAGTTTCACGTAATTGGAGGCGACGTGGTCCTGGGCCCGGTGAGCGTTCTCCAACTGCCTCTGATAATTCTCGTGCCTCGCCGTCTCCTGTATCGTTTTCGACGACACGTAATTGCCGTCCTTCGTATAATGATCGTGACCGTGGTGCTTCGAGTTCTCCGAAAACTGTTTGCTGCTGGCGTAGTGGGACTCTTTCTCCTTTTTCTGGGACGACTTGGGCGTCACTACTTGGTAATTTTGTCTCGCTGGAAGCGGCGGCGGCGGGGTACCGTCGGCGCGATGACCATTGTCTTGGTCCTGCGGTTCCAGGAGCTCGTACCTGCGTCCAAAAAATTCCGCTTCTTATATCTTCACGCGCTACGTATTCGCGGTTTATTTATTGTTTACTCAGGATAGGAAATTTCTTGTTTATTACATCCAAAACCTAAATGGAAGGTGCTATGGCAATTTATACACTATGTTATAAGAGAGTCGAGTGTAATGCCTATTACAAATTGATTACAGAGGAAAATTATTATATTTTATTTAACAGGAGAATTCGGAGAAGAGATGATAAAATTGCTCTCTTACCAGCGATCGTCGGCGCTGCTGTGTCCACTGCTGCTGCTGGTCATCGTTCCTTCCATGGGAAAGCGAGGATCGTTGAACGATCTGGAGCTAGATCCGGTTCCGTAGCCAGAACTGTTGCTCGATCTCGGCGGGCTGAAAGATCGCTCGTACCGCCTCTGATGAGACATGGCTGTTTGCTGACTCGGCGTGTTATCAGGACTGGTTACGTTTTCGTAGTCCCCCTCGTAGTTGCTCGACAAATACTGACAGTTTTGCAGCGAGCAACCTCTGTTCAAACAAGAAAAAGCGAACCGGTTAAATTTATCGACAGAAATGTCGATTAAAATAAACTCCTCGAAACGAATTGGAACATATTCATCAAATAAATTATTTTCCATAAATTAATATAATCTTCTAATTTTTTTTTCGAAACCATTTTTGCGCAGACCAGATATTAGCAGATTCTACGAAGCGTTTGGGCGAGTTTACCTCCTAGGATTACCGTCGTTGTTCGGTGGTATGACGGTGACCGTGACCTGGGCGCTGGTCTTCAGCAGATCGACCATCTGGTCGTGGCTCAACGTGGATACGGCTACTTTGCAAATTTCGACGAGCCTTGAGCCCTGTCTTAATCCCGCCTGCCAGGACAGTCCCATGCTCTCGACCTGCGTCACCACGCCATCCGGCTGAACGTGGAAACCCAACTGACCCAAACTGTTTCTCTTCAGAGACAGTTCCGTAGCCGGTGCTCCTTGAGTCACGGCTCGCAGACGAGCCACGATTTCCATTAATTCGTCCCTTTCTCCGTAATCACCGCGCACGTGGATCGTAATACACTCTCCTTGATGATAGTACAGTCGCAAGCTGCAATTAAACGCGTCAGAGTTTCCAGAATTACGTTCAAAAGAATCTTACTAAAGGATCGCGGTTAGAAACTGTTTTAACGAAAGTAGAGAAAGTACTGAAATATATTTCAAGGGTTGCAATAATAATGTAACCATGGATTAATATTTGTATATCAGTAAACAAATGATTTGAGTACTCGAGGGAGGAAGATGAAAGGGTACCTGTTCGTTTGAGCGTGCCAGCCGAGTACGCTCGCGCACGGAGTGACGAAAACAATCTGCCTGGAATGTTCCTCGATAAGAACGACGGTGTCTACGCTTATTCCTAGATAACAATCCGTGTTCTGATTACTGTCCTCCAGGATCACCTGCCAGCAAATCGCGCCACGTTGCGACGCGTCGCAGGACAATCTCGGCCTCACCGCCGCCTTCTTCTTGCTGCTGAACGACAGCATGGCTGGTTCCAAAAGACAAACACCGTTAAATATCGTTTCCATCTTCGATATTTCTTATTACACTTACAAAATTTCTGTCCAGTGTCGACCACGGACGTGGAGGAGTAGTTGGTCGCGAGATCCTTCAAATACTCTTGCCTCGTCCTCGTCGCCATCGTGGCGAACTTCTCCGACCTGCGAGACAACACTTGCTTCGTGAATTATTAACTACTTAACCGTAGGTACTTTTAACTCTATTTTGGGGCCACGAACGAGTGAACATCGAAGAATAAAATTGCTGCAAGTAGCGTCGAAGTTTACAAGATCAAGATTAATTTACCTATGGGCTGCGTTTTCTGCGTTGATCACTTTCGCCAGGATGAAGTCGGCGAAGTTTTTCCCCTTGGCGAACATGGCGCCCGGGGTAACTGGAGGTCCAAAAATAGGAACTTCTTTGCTCCTGGACACGGCCACGCTGTACTGAGTATTATCCGAGCACGGATTGATGGCTTTGACCACGATGAACACGTGTTGGAACTGAGAGCGTATCCTCCGTGGGCTGAACGGTAACGCGCCAGGTTCCTATTTTATAAAACGGAATTACGCTTCTTCCGTTCCATTGTCCAGTAAATATTAATATTGTACATTGATTCTAAATCTTTTGATGCGTCGTAAAAAAATTATTTCCTGATACAAAAGATAACAGCGGAGATTGTCGCGAAATAAAAACGATACAGCTTTCTATAACGCGGATTTGAAGGTTTTGAACGTGTCGGGTGGTCGGGCAGGATGCAATCCCGGTTAATTGCAAATTATCGCCGTAGCCATTGTCTCCTTACCTGGAAAACTATCGTGACTATGTCGTTTCCGATGTGCCTCTTCCTGAGCAGCTGTTGCCTGTTATTCGGCGTAAAGGGTAGCATCGTCGACACGTGAAACGTCACTTCCGCTCCACGGTGCGTAGCGGCGACCGCGTGGGTACCTGTCGAGTCGGTTCTCGTATCCAGGCCAGCCTTGTAACCTTCGAATCCTCGCAGTCTTATTCTTTGGCCTGTCGTGTAACGTAGAATTATCTCGAGTACCGCGGCGAGAAAGAACCGTTCCGCCGCGAGATTCCTCGTTCCGTGGAACTCGAGACTCTTTACTTTCGTTTCGCGAATCGTATTAATCTCCCCCCTCTCAGCCATTTCGCTAATTACAGTACAATCTAATACATTGCATCGAGTTAAACACTGGCAGACTTCGAAATGCAATTCTATCGTGCAAGGTAATATCAGCCGACTCTCGACGCACGCTTTCACGCGATAAAAAAAATTTCTCCGCTCGCCAGGGGAGAATAAATCGCGTTTAATGATTTGTAATTGCGCTTCGGGTGTACTGGTAACAGGGATGCACTCGTTCGAACGATTTTATGATGGATTTCAGGAATTTAGTGAAATCTTTTCTTCGTTCAGAGGATAGGTACGTGTCTCAGATTCTAGGATCCTTGAATCCTTGATCTTGGAAAGGCTTCAAAAATTGTTCGAGCAAGTCCATGCCTGTGGTCGAATTGAATGCTCACCGATAGCGTCGAGGAACTCGAGGAAGGCCGGTCCAGCGTGTTGGTTGTTGTACATCTCCTCCTCGGTCCTCTGTCCGGATCTGCAGTAGAGAACACCGACCTTGTACCTGCTGGAGAGTCCTTGCTCGTCCAATCGAGCGAGAGCCTCCTCGGCGGCGGGAGTGCCGAGCCTCAGACAGCCAAGCTGTACTTCCGGGGCAACCAGTTCCAAAAGTTCCCTGGTGGGCAGTCGATTGCCCTGGGGCCTGATCCCGAGGGCCTCTTCCGGCACCGATCCGCGGAGCGTCAACAGCTCCGAGGTGCGGACGATTATCCTATATTGATTAACGTCTTTTCGAATGCTGATCGCGACTGGACCCAGTTGCTCGTCCATGCCGAACCAGTTTTGGTGCTCTCGACCTGGAAACGTTTAGGCTACCACTAACGGTGCGTCGCGGGCGCAGAAACCTACAGGAATACAGTGACCGACAAAAGTTTCCGGCCAAACTATCCTCTCGATACTCTTCAATGAATAGCCGGAAACTCTTGGTGCACGTCGACGCGGAGGACACTTTGTTGCTTTATGATTTTATTAAGAAATGTCTTTTCTACGATTTCTAACAGCCACGAGCCATAGACAATTTTATTTTTAATTTTTCTTGGAGTTGAATCTTAGAAATATTGACGATGTTTGAGTTAAGGGTCTCGATACTCGTAGCTCGCAATTAAGTATGAAATATATTTGTATTCGATGTTTTCGTTTGATGGCTCACCGAGAAAGTATCTCCTGTAATAATGGGCGCCCTCGTCGACGCTCTCGATGGGTAATGGTCGTTTCTGCATCGGACAACTGTGCTTCCATAATGTCTCGCCGGGCGCCGGCTCCAAAACCGCGATACCGTACGATAATGGCGGTCTGTGAACTCCGTTGCCTTGGGAGCACCGAGTCAGACCCACTTCTCGCTCTCCTTCGCCGCCGATCTCGTTTCGGAAAAATGGGCACGATTCCAACAGTTCGTTACCTACAATCGCGCCAGGGGTCACAGGACTTACTAAAACAGCGCCTTTGCCAAAATTCGACAAAATTTCTATTCATTTCCAGCGAACACTCGACGTCCGCTCGTTAACGCTAGATTCACGGATTCCTCTTACTTTTTCAACGTTCAGACACGTTTAGACAATACTCATCTAATATGTATGCAATTATATCAATGCTAAGAATTATTTTCTCTATCTGAATCGATTTGTACTTGACTGAATCATCAAAGCTAGCGAAATATACATATTCTTTGAGAACTGACGTATTTGATTTCAGGTCGAATTTATAAGGGTTGAAGAACGTCTGTAAAAAAGGTACCTTTTCCGTCGCCAGCGTCTTCCTCGGGCGTCTCGTCGGGGGTAGACGCCCTGAAGGAGCTGGCAGCGGAGGCCCCGGTGGCCGTGTTCCTCCTCCTGGCGAGCAGGATCCCCCTCAGTTTGGCCGCGTAACCGAGGTTCGCCGTGAGCGACTGACAGTCGTAGTGCGCGAACGCCCGTCGTCTGTGCCTCTCCTCCACGTCCGCCGAAACCACCGGGCTGCTGCAGCTTTCCTCCATCGCTCGGGGCGGTTTCGCGCCCCACAATCTATTTAATTTCAGTCGCAGCTTGGGACTCGAGCCACCTGTCGGACCGCAGACCTCGTCCGCGTCTACTGTCTGCCCGTCGGAGACGCGCCTCAGGTAATCCACGCCGACCGAGTTCCGTTGATCCGACGACGACGGTCGCAGATCCTGAAGCATCGCGAACAAGTTCTCGCCGACGGTCACGGACTGCGCCACTACGTCGATACTCCCTGCGAAACCACCGGAAATCAACCGATAAACTCGACGATCGAGTCCAGGGTTCGTCAACGGCGAACGAATGTTTTCGTTAAAAATCTCCTTTGTGCAAAATGAAATGATAATTTTACGACTGGCAATTTCAACGATAATCCCCTCCAATTTTAAAGGGATATTTTCATCACCCTCGAGTCGCCTTTTAGACTTTAATACAAAGAAGGATGTCTTCTAATTTTATAAAAAATCTACGCTTGTGGAGTTTGTTGGCTCGTTTCTACTCACCGTGTGATCCATACTCCCTTCTGAGGGGAGCTTCTGGCACTCGAGAGGCTGGGTCCGGACTGTGCGGAAGCTCCAAGCTGGAGTTGGACCTGTGAAGGGCCAATCCGCGGCCCACACGGCTGTTCAGCCCTCCGCTGCCGCCGCCGCCGCCGCTATGTATCGGTAGGCTCGCGATCATCTCTTCATTCTGCGGGCAAAGATCGGCGTTACTTCTCGGAATCGAGGGAAAGAATTCCGCTCGCGTCGCGAGAACTCAACGAGTCCGTGACTGGTGTTCTAACCCTTCGCGAACGGGTGTCTGGATGGGCAACTCTTTACCTTCGAGATAAAAACGTTCACTAACCGCCTCTAACGAAGGTGAACAACTATTTCTTTGCTACTTCTTCCGAGAAAAATTAGCAATCTATTCTGACCCGTACTTTGTCAGTCAACGATTTACAGATTATAGATTGTATCATCGGAGTTCAATTGAAAACTAGGTCTCTATTGATCCTCATCGGTCACTCTATTTGTCTTACAGTAACTGATAAGAGAGTGGATATCATATCATATCAACAATACACGTTTCTTTATGCGTCACGTTTTGAGAACCGTTCGCAAAGTGTTAATTGACGACGTTCCGTGAAAAACGGCGGTTACGTTCGTCGCCGGAAATTCGGTGGCGCATCCGCGCGGCATTGCTCCATTTAGAAGTTACTGCCGCAACGGTTGCTCGGTGTCACGGGTTAAGTAGAAATAAACTTAAGTGCCTCTAAACAAGCGCAAAGTAGGACAGCTAATTAGAATCGGTCGGCCCTTCCCAGTCGCTCGTGCACATTCGCCGCGAACACGCACACACCCACGCATCTGGAACGCGTCCCGAGGGTTCCGCAGATGCGTGACGAGTTCATTCGAGTGCCTTTTGCTGTAGCGTATTTCCCCAACTTCTACACCCCACAGAATTTCTCCTCTTCTCGATCGGAATCGAGTCGCGGTTTTTTTCCAATTTCAATTTTCAGTTCAACCCCCGCGACCGTAATAGCTCCTTTTAAAAATCGAGGGGGAGCAAAGGAGGAAGGACGTTAATTAACTCGGTTCGAGATCCAGCTCACGGAGCACGAAGCGTTTATTGTTGCCTGAAACGCGATACGCGTGCAGACGCGCGTGTACTCTCGCCTGTACGAAGAAAACGGGACGCACGCTATGCACCTGCTCGTACGCGATTGACCGTGCGAGATTTAAGCCGTCCCCACACCAGACCATCGTCCAAATCCTCCAAAAAGTCCATGGACTCTCTTAGTACCTCCACGATACTTTTACGACTGATTTCAGCAGCTGGACGATGCTTTTAGATGCAAAAGACACGTGAAACACACGTAAAAGTAACAGACCATTGGAAACTTAATATTTTACAAGTTGTTCATATTCAATAGCTCGATCTTCGTATTGAAATCGTATCTATCGCAGTAGATCGCGTAACACCGACGACCGTGGTTATGGGTGTACGTTTCGATCGTTATAAATAGAATGAAAATTGTACCGTTTCCAAATGCATCTGTCGACCAATAAATAATATCAAATTGTAATTGTTTCAGAGCCGATCGGATATCAGTTGTTCGAGTTAAAAGTTCTTTATGGCTGTGTTTAACCTCCGGTTCGAAGCCATAAACCAAAAAGCAACACTTTCGTCCTGTTAATTCGAGAAAGCGCGTTGCGTAAGCACGCGTAGAAGCAATGAACCGCGACGGCGAAGCGTGAATCGGCCTTTAATCCTGTACCGTTGCTCGATTCGCCAAATGTGTCCGGTGAATGGGCAATTCCATTGTTAACTCGGAACCGGTATCCGCGCTCTCGTACACGCCGGACCGATCGAAGCAAACCGGGATTAATTGCCGGCGCGCGTCCACGTCATTCGAACTCGCGTCACGCCGTTCGATCGCAAAAAATCGATTCGTCGATCATAAACTGCATCAAAAATGCTCTCGCGTAAAAAAAAAAACACGCGACGATGCACATTCAACTCTCAAAATCGTCAACTCGCGGCGTACGCAAATCCGTTTCTAATCTTTTCTTAGAAAAATTTTAAAGGCGTCTTCAACGGACGCGTAAAATCAGCAGCCCGATCGTTCCATTAACCGTTCAGAATTACCGGGAGTTAATTAACTTCAACGCGTGCTCTTAATCGCCACGTAACATGCTACTTTTTTCGCGTAGATTCAGAACAAATCTTATCTACCCGGATCCGATCGTTGGAATACGATAGCGTTGCAAATTTTCCATGCTCTATCGACCTCTTTTCAGAATCTGTTCGTTCCTTTAAATGCATCGTTCAGGGGACAGATTTATTGCACCGATTCAACAGATAAACTTTGTTTACTTTTGATACCGTATCTTATTTAATTATTGAATCGGAGCATCGTACACGTATCGAGAACAACGATGAAATTTATATTTATTTCGCGTGTAAATACGTGTAACCTGTGCAAGGAAATAAATAATTGTGTTCCACGGTCGCGTACGGTATCGTCTGCGAATTCGAGGGACGCGAAGACCGACGTGGGTGAACCAACAGGCCGGACGAGACGAAATTTCATGCGTTTCGAGCATTTTCGCCGGTACCCGTGCGTGGAATAACGAGGCGCGGTTCGACGACGATCACGACGACGACGACGACGAACGAGCAGAAGGATCGGGCCTCGATGGTATTTGGCGCGAACGACGACCGTGGTCGGACCATCGAGGAGCCCGTTGCATTCCGCGCGTTCCACGCGTCACTTTGCCGCTCGTGCTCGATGCCCGGTGTGCTCCGGTGGCTTCGTACAACGTCCTCGAAAAGAGACGTTATGCGATTCGCCGGTACCAGTCACCTGGTGAAACCGTGAATCACAATTTCGTTTCTGGCAGATGTTTCGATCAATGGGGACCTCTAGTCAACAGCCCAACAATGTACAAGCTCGACGCAGCTTGGGAAAATCTCTGTACGAGAGAATGCGCTGGGACCCACCCCCTTCGTCTACCAGAAAACCTTTCAAATTGTTCACCTTCGTAGAGTCGAACGATAGATTGCTCGAGAATTTTATTTCTTGAATTATATAGCAATATTATAATAATCGTGGAAAATTCTGGTTATTAGAAATGTTAGAAACCACTGGACCAAGCAGTATTATACGCGATGTCTATAAAGTCTCCCCACCACGCTCAGGCCACGCCCTCCGGGGAAATTTTTTGCCTCGTCGAGTTGTAGATTCTTTTAAAATTACTGCGATTTCTTCGCTGTTTAGTATACTGATGATTGGAAACGAATGCAAATGTTGACGTTTTACGATATGGGACACGACCTAGCGTAACGGTTCTCGTTTGGAAAATAGCGCGAGATTCGAATGTTTAACCTTCGCGGCGTCGAGTCGAGTGGTTGAAAGTTTGAATGCATGCATGGTTTCCTTCCGTCAGAGGCTGTCGCGTCACCGGGCAGCTCGTCCTTGGAAAATAGCAAGCGACGATGAGTCAACGCCAGTTTCGACCGCGGGATTCGCTCTTAAGTTTCTCTGGCTATCGCGCGGCGAAGTCTCCTTCTCGCGTTTCAAGCGATCGCGCGCGTTTGTGGTATTTCTTTGTCGCGATCCTCGGCGTAACCTCACCGGGGATCCTCGATCCTCGCAAAGGAATCGATTGCGCAATGGATTTCGCGGTCGAAACCGCTGGGAATCGAGCACCGTGCAATCGATTACAAAATTGTTCGCAAAAATATTGCGTTGAATCTAAATAGACGAAAATCAATTTTAATACTTTTATGAACGATTAAATGATTTCGTCGAACAAAATTGCGATTGTCCTGAATTTCCACGACTTCCGCGTCGACCTTGAATATGTTTTTCCAGTCGCGTTTAGGTATGGCGCGCACGTACGTTACTCGAGAGGCGTCTTGCTCGCGTTGTGCACCTGAGCAACGCGTACCTGCAGGTTGCACAACGCGAGTAAAATTACGAGAAACCGTAATGCAGGTTACGACTGGTCGGTGTCTGGTCCCCCCGGTTTCTGCCTCGACACGCGAATACGAAACGATCGAGCTTCGGTATTCGCTGCGAGGTTCCTTCCGCCGCCATTGTCCACCAGCTGTTCCGTATATTTTTTCCAATAACGGCTCGCGTCCTTGCGCGCGTACAGACGATTTGCGTAACGATTCACGACGGCCACTTACGAGCAGGAAATCCGGGCTAATTAGAGAATCCAATTAAAACGCTTCCTCGATCATCGGGACCCGGTCGTTCGTCCTTTAAATCGGACGAAATTTTAATAATCACCCAAACACTCCGCGATGCCACTATCACGAGTCGATTCGGTATGTTTCAGGCAAACGCTATCGTCCGCCTTTCGTTTATATTAAACTGTTAATCCGAGAGAAAACGATTTAGACGATAGTTATTCCGCATTCGCAAGAAAAATGTGAAGATCGCGCAGTACGAAAGGAGAAAGAAGAGAAACGGTTATATATGTGAAATATGCGAAGGAAAGCTGCAATTGGAGAGTGTTTCGAAATACATCACGAGTAGTTTAAAATTGTAAATAGTGGAAAAGAATACTTTTGCACGTCAATTATATTAAATATATTTCCACTTATAATAGTGAAAATCCAATGAAATATAGAAGATTTCTCTAATCGCGGAGGGTTACTAAAGAAATCAACTTTCCACCAGTAAGAATGTATGATATAGTTATAAAAAATTCATGAAAATATCCTCTGTTGACGTCGCTAAGGTGGCATAACCTCCGAAGGCCGAGCTCTACATAGTCCCGCTATAAATTCTGCGAGCGATGTTTAAAAATAACAGCGGCGTCCATAAATTTAAACGCGCGAAACTGGCAACACGGTCAATGTAAAGTTGTTAACTCGTAGAACGATAGACCGAAGATAAACAATGACCAGTCGCAAACGATTGGTATTTACAAAGCAATAGAGCGGAGCGTCCATGAGAATCGCGTCGCTCTAATAACGTTGTTCGAAGCGGAAAACCATGCTTGGAAGATTTATTGCTTGACATAGACATTTGAAATATCTAAAACCATTTATTTATATCGTATTCCATATTTTCTCGCAAAGATACAAAACACTGATTATACGCTACGAAAACGAACGTTTATTTACTAGAAGAACGTAAACGTACTATTCCCCTTAAATACACACAATTTTATGCATTATTAACTCCTCGA